TGTTGAATGAACACTGCATGGTCCTGGCCACAAAGCACTGCCGTTTGCAGAGCCCTCTGTTGAACCCTGCACAGTCCTGGCCACACAGCACTGCCATTTGCAGAGCCCTCTGTTGAACACTGCATGGTTCTAGCCGTGCAGCACTGCTGTTTGCAGAGCTCTCTGCTGAACACTGCATGGTCCTGGCCACAAAGCACTCCCATTTGCAGAGCCTTCTGTTGAATGAACACTGCACGGTCCTGGCCGTACAGCACTGCCCTTTGCAGAGTCCTCTGTTGAATGAACACTGCACGGTCCTGGCCGTACAGCACTGCCCTTTGCAGAGTCCTCTGTTGAATGAACACTGCACGGTCCTGGCCGTACAGCACTGCCCTTTGCAGAGTCCTCTGTTGAATGAACACTGCACGGTCCTGGCCGTACAGCACTGCCCTTTGCAGAGCCCTCTGTTGAATGAACACTGCACGGTTCTGGCTGTACAGCACTGCCCTTTGCAGAGCCCTCTGTTGAACACTGCATGGTCCTGGCCACAAAGCACTGCCCTTTGCAGAGCCCTCTGTTGAACCCTGCACGGTCCTGGCCGCACAGCACTGCCATTTGCAGAGCCCTCTGTTGAACCCCGCAGGGTCCTGGCTGCACAGCACTGCTGTTTGCAGAGCCCTCACTCCGTGCCCAGCACCCACGGGCACCCTTCACCCTCCAGGCTTACTCAGCTAGTGAGAGGCAGAGGCAGTCCATGGCCAGGAATGCCCTGGCTCTCCCTGTCACCCAGAGACAGTTGGGAGGGCCTGCCAGGCGCTGCCTCGGCTCATCGCATCTTTTGCTGGCCACTAAGGGCCAGGCCTAGTGGGTAGACTGTCCACGTGGACCGTCTGGGTGGCACAAGGAGCCCTCAGGTGGCTAGGGCTCTGGTCAAGAGGTTGGGAGCCTGGACTGGGGTCAGAAGAACATAAGAGCATGAATCCCAGCCCTGCCACATACTCGCGGGGTAACTAGGCCATCTCCCTGCCTCTCTGGGCCCCAGAGACAGTGTGGAGCCTCTTGTGGGGCAGCTGCTGGGGCCAGGGTGGTGAGGGAGGGCAGGGTGCCTGGCTTGGGGTCAGGCCCCTGGAGAATGGCTACAGCAGGTGGAGGGATGACCTGTTCGCTTCTCTATCAGGCAGCTTCTGACGATTTAAGGGATGTGCCTGGAGCTGTTGGTGGTGCAAGGTAAGAAAGAAGTCGGGGATGCATTCTGGACCTGGCTGGCTGCCCTGTCCACTGCCCTCTGCCCACAGGCAACTGTGGATGAGTGGATTTTGTTTAAAATCTGTTGACAAGTCCTAGAGAATTATTTCATCCTTCGAGTAAACATATATGGAATAGTCTCTGGTCTGTTTCCAACTTCTAATCCCTAAACTCTGCCAGACGCATGATGTTCTGCATTAGGGGTTGGCAGGTCAAGGCCCGTTTGACTCACGGCCCATTTTGTACAGACCGTGAGCTAAGAATGATGTTTAAATTTTTAAAGGGCCCTAAAGAACGGTAATAATAAACATTACGTGGACGGTGGTAGCTGCAAAGGCTTTTACTCTCTGGCTTTCTGGCAGAAGCGCACCAACCCCTGTCTGCATAGGCTCTCACAGAGGGCAGTGGTGGCCAAGAGGAGTGTGGCGGTCCTAAGACCTGACCCAGCCCACCCCCACCTCCTTACAGGCCACTGGAAGGAGCACTTATCCACAAGTGGGTCATGCCCTTGAGTGCTCCTTTTGTTTGAGGCCTGCGGCCGGCCGTCTGAGTGGATGAGCAGTCTTTGTGGAGCTTTTGTAGGGACCAGTGTGGTCTGGGAAGGACTAGTCTGGATGGCTGGGGTTGGAGCCCCGGGAGCGTGGACTCCAGCTAACCTGGCGGTCCTGGCCTTTCGGCGGCCAAGCACCTCGGCTCCCCACCAGGACGCTTGTTCTGGCACAGGCTCAACTGTTTAGGAGGCTTGGGGGACCTGTGGGAGGCCGGGGTTTCCCAACTCAGACATTAATGACCCGGCTTCTCCCCACACAGCCCAGAGCATGCGGAGCCAGAGGTCCAGGTGGTGCCCGGGTCTGGCCAGATCATCTTCCTGCCCTTCACCTGCATTGGCTACACGGCCACCAACCAGGACTTCATCCAGCGCCTGAGCACGCTGATCCGGCAGGCCATTGAGCGGCAGCTGCCTGCCTGGATCGAGGCCGCCAACCAGCGGGAGGAGGGCCAGGGCGAGCGGGGCGAGGAGGAGGATGAGGAGGAGCAGGACACTATTGAGAACCGCTACTTTGAAATGGGGCCCCCAGACGTGGAGGAAGAGGAGGAGGGCAGCCGGGGGGAGGAAGATGAGGAGGAGGAGGAAGAAGAGGAGGGTGAGGAGGAGCGGCTGGCCCTGGAGTGGGCCCTGGGTGCGGACGAGGACTTCCTGCTGGAGCACATCCGCATCCTCAAGGTGCTGTGGTGCTTCCTGATCCACGTGCAGGGCAGCATCCGGCAGTTCGCCGCCTGCCTGGTGCTGACCGACTTTGGCATCGCTGTCTTCGAGATCCCACACCAGGAGTCACGCGGCAGCAGCCAGCACATCCTCTCGGCCCTACGCTTCGTCTTCTGCTTCCCGCACGGCGACCTCACCGAGTTCGGCTTCCTCATGCCCGAGTTGTGTCTGGTGCTCAAGGTGCGGCACAGCGAGAACACGCTTTTCATCATCTCCGACGCCGCCAACCTGCACGAGTTCCATGCAGACCTGCGCTCGTGCTTCGCCCCGCAGCACATGGCCATGCTGTGCAGCCCCGTGCTCTATGGCAGTCACACCAGCCTGCAGGAGTTCCTGCGCCAGTTGCTCACCTTCTACAAGGTGGCAGGCGGCTGCCAGGAGCGCAGCCAGGGCTGCTTCCCCGTCTACCTGGTCTACAGCGACAAGCGCATGGTGCAGACGGCCGCCGGGGACTACTCGGGCAACATCGAGTGGGCCAGCTGCACGCTCTGCTCGGCCGTGCGGCGCTCCTGCTGCGCGCCCTCTGAGGCCGTCAAGTCCGCCGCCATCCCCTACTGGCTGCTGCTCACGCCCCAGCACCTCAACGTCATCAAGGCTGACTTCAACCCCATGCCTAACCGCGGCACCCACAACTGCCGCAACCGCAACAGCTTCAAGCTCAGCCGTGTGCCGCTCTCCACTGTGCTGCTGGACCCCACACGCAGCTGCACCCAGCCGCGTGGCGCCTTCGCCGACGGCCACGTGCTTGAGCTGCTCGTGGGCTACCGCTTCGTCACCGCCATCTTCGTGCTGCCCCACGAGAAGTTCCACTTCCTGCGCATCTACAACCAGCTGCGGGCCTCACTGCAGGACCTGAAGACCGTGGTCATCGCCAAGACCCCGACGACCGTGGGCGGGTCCCAGGGCCCTGTGGGGGACGGCCAGCCTGCCGAGGGCAGGGCCAGGTGAGGCTAAGCACAGGCTCTCAGGGGCAAAGAGGCATGAGGTTTGCGTGTGCACAAACAGGTACCCAGGGAGTCTGTGTCACCGTGTTGAGGCCACTCACCCGACACCAGATCTCTGGGCATCTGCAGTTGGTGAGGAGCCTGTGGTTGGCCCAGCTCTCAGAAGGCCGTTCTGCCCCTCAGCTTCTCAGCTCTTGGCCGCCCTTGGCATTGCCCTTGGCTCCCTCAGGCTGGGCACTGGGCTGCTTCTCTCTCAAGGCTTCAGAAGAGGCCCAGTCTCCTGCATGGCTGGGCCCCCAGGCTCCCACCACTAATGCTGCCATCAGCCCACCTTGTCTGCGCTGGGTCAGTCCCGTGGCTGTGGGCTGGCAAGCTGTTCCAGCCACCACACGTGCCTGAGACCCAGCTCCCAAGCCCTGCCCTGTTGGTGAATCCCAAATCCCTGCCAAGAAGAACTGGGCTACTGAGGGGTCCTCTCTTTGGATGTAGTTTTGGGAGTCCCTTCCAAAGGAACTCTATTGGCTCGAAGTGGCAAGGTCTGAGTGTCTAAGCTTGGGGAATCATTTTGTCCAAAAGCTCTTTTTTTCTGGGGTGCAGAGAAGGAAGGACATGGGTGTTGGTGGCCCTGGCACACACTGCAGCCAGCGGCCCGCCCTCCCTCCCTCTTTTTCTCCATCTGCCTCTCGCTGCTCCTGCCCCACTGCACCTGGCTTCCCCGGCCTCTCAGAACCTTCCTCACCCAGTTTCTGTCAGGGCCGCCTGGGGATAAGGGTGGAGGGGCATGTGGGAGCATGGTCACACCCACACACACACACCCCCTACCTGGGACTCAAGAGAGGGACCTTGTACCCTCAGGGATGCCCATGTCCCCTCCTCTTGCTGGCTCCTGGGCTTCAAATATACAAGGACATCCCCTACCTGGGAGTGCCTGGGTGGTGCAGACAGTTAAGGAGCTTGGCTGCTAACTGAAAGGTTGGAGGTTCGAATCCATCCAGAGGCACCTCAGAAGAAAGGCCTGGTGATCTGCTTCTAAAAAATCAGCCATCAGAAACCCTGTAAAGCACAGTTCTACTGTGACACATACAGGTTGGCATGAGTTGGAGTTGACTCGACGGCAACTGTATTTTGCCCCCGCCTGGGGAGGAAAGCCCTGCCTGTCCCGGCCTGAGACAGTGTCACTCCTTTCCTCTTCCCTGCCCTCTCCCCCATCCCCACCCCCCGCCCCCTTGCTCCAGCATCTCACAGCATCTGCCTTCCCTCTGACCCACACCCCCAACTGGTGCGCCCTCCTGGCCTCTTCTGCCCCGCTCAAGCCCCATGCCCTCCGTGGAGACCCCTGGTGCCCCCAGATGCTGCAGAGCAACTTGTGCTGGAGGTGACCCCATGTGGCCGTCTCCCCTGTGCCAAGCCTTTGGGTGGTGGGTACCTCGTCTTCATTTCACCACCATCCCCCAAGCTGGCTGGCACCTGCCCCTAGTGGGGACTGCCTGCAGAAACTGGGGCCTCCTTCACACCAGCGATAGCATCTCTGCTCCAGAACAGCAGGACAGCCAGGAGGCTTCTTGGGGGCATTTGGCTAAGTGCAAGGTCGGGCCTGGGGATCTCTTTCAAGTGGTGGGCTGGGTCCAGTTGAGAAGGTGACATCCAAAAGAACCCCCATGGCCGTATAGGCTGGTTGCAGGGGACTCGGGGGCTCCCCAACCTCAAGGAGCTTCAAGAGTTATGAGTACTAATTTAGTCTTGTACACAGAACAGTGGAAACCCAGTGTGGCCATGTTCAGTGGAGGCTGGGTGGGGTGAGGGCCTGGACCTCCTGAGAAGACCCCAGAGGGCAAACAGGGCAGTTTGAGTTTTTGGTTTTCCCTTCCCCAGGCACTGACCAGGCACCTAGGTCCCAGCCCTGGGCACTGGGGCCTCACTTTGGACTCTGGAGGGGTACTTCTAATACCTCAGCCATCTGCTCCAAGCGGGTGCTCAGTCCATTGGCCAAAGCCACCACCACATGTGTCTGGCCAGCTCAGCCCTGGGGTGCCAGACTGCAGCCACCCTGCCACCAGGTGCCCATTTCCTTGCCAAGGGGGGGGGCACTTCTCCTTGCTTTTTTGTCCTCCCATAGGGATCTTGGAGCCCTGGTGGCATAGTGGTTAAGAGCTCAGCTGCTGACCGAAAGGTCGGCAGTTTGAACCCACCGGCCACTCCTCGGACCCTATGAGGCAGTTCTGCTCTGTCCTGTAGGGTTGCTTTGAGTCAGAATCGACTCGATAGCAATAGGTGCGGGTATAGGGATCTTGGTATCAGATCCCCAGGATGAGCCCTGAGGTGGCATGTGATGCACGTACTCCCCTCGCTCTGTGGTTGCGCGCATGTTGCGAACGTCCATCTGGAGTCCACATATTAACATGGTATTTCTTGGGGGGGGTTGGGTGATAAACAGCAATGACCAACGTCCCCAGGAGGCCCCCATCGAACCCCCACTTCTGGCCCCCGCACCAGTGGAGGTCCCAGCTTTGGCCTCAGCAGAGGCCGAGGCCCCAGGCCCAGTGAAGACCCCAGCAGAAGCCCCAGTACCAGCTCCAGCGGAAGCCCCAGGCCCAGTGAAGACCCCAGCACCTGCTCCAGCAGAGGCCGAGGCCCCATCTCTGGTCTCACCGGAGACCCCGGCAGAAGCCTTGGCCCCAGTGCAGGATCCAGTGGAGGCCCCAGCCCCAGCAGAGACCCTAGCACAAGCGGAGGCCCCTGCCCAGTACCCAGGCGACCACCTGATCCAGTCCACCTCGGAGGAGAATCAGATCCCCTCACACCTGCCCGCCTGCCCGTCGCTCCGGCACATCGCCAGCCTGCGGGGGAGTGCCATCATCGAGTTCTTCCACAGCAGCATCGCTGAGGTAGCCGGGCCTGGGGCACGTGGTCTTGCTGGCTGGAGCTTGTGTGGAGAAAGGTGTGGGTTCTGGACCTCTGGCCCAGGCTGACCCTACCCCCATGCATACCCTGCACTCTGGGGGCAGACAGGTGGTGGTGGGAGGGGTTGGCCTACCTGGAGCTCTGTTTTCATACATGGTCTAGAAGCAAAGAGGGTGTGTTCCCTGTGCCAGCTCTGCTCTCCTGCAGGCCCCAACCTGCCCCTGTGTCTGCAGGTGGAAAACGAGGAGCTGAGGCACCTCATGTGGTCCTCGGTGGTGTTCTACCAGACGCCAGGGCTGGAGGTCACGGCCTGCGTGCTGCTCTCCACCAAGGCGGTGTACTTCGTACTGCATGATGGCCTCCGCCGCTACTTCTCAGAGCCACTACAGGGTACACACCGGGACCCTCAGCCTGGAGGCTGGGGCTGCCCCTCAAGTCCATTCGGCTGCACTGGGCTGGGCATCTTTGAGAGGTGGGGTCATGATAGCATGTCCCTCTGAGAGCTGTCCTGAGGGACCTAAGGCCAGGTGTGAGAACACCAAGTGGGGCTCAGTGAGTGCTTGGGGACACGCTGGGATGAGGAGGGGCTGGGCAGCCCCTGCCCCTGGGGCCTCAGTGGGGTCTTACACTCATGGCCTGTTGTAGGGCTCATGGTGACCCAATGAGCTGGGCGAGGCTCAGACCCCAGAATGGGTTATACAGAGGCCTTGCCGGCAGAGGCAGTGGTGGCTCCTAGGAGGCCTTAACAGGCCAGGCCGGCCAGGGGAACCATTCCTGCGGGACGCTGCTGTGCGCCTGGGAGCCTCGTGCTTGCCTGCCCCAGCCCCTACTACACTCAGTCAACTTCTCTCCACAGATTTCTGGCATCAGAAAAATACCGACTATAACAACAGTCCTTTCCACATCTCCCAGTGCTTTGTTTTAAAACTCGGTGACTTGCAGTCAGTCAACATCGGGCTTTTTGACCAGTATTTCCGGCTGACGGGTGAGTGACCCACGTGCCTAGCCTGTTTGTCGCCAGTGGCTGCACCTTCCCCGGAGGAGTGTGCTGTCAGAGGCAGAGTTACCTCTCTGCTCACAAACCAGTTAGCTGAGGCAGGAGGAAGCAGCTTCAAGAACTGCTGAGAGTGTAGAACTTGCCCCAAAGTTGGGAGCAGGAGGCGGGTATGCAGCAAGCCCAGACAGGCAGTGAAGTGCCGGCAGGCGAGCGAGCGGGCCTGGGCTCCCTGGGCAGGATGTTTCTGACTCACACTTCCTGAAGAGAGAAAGCTAAGCTTTTTCCCTAAAGTCTCCATATCCCCTTCCAGAAAAATGAAACAGCCCTTCCGGCCTGAGAAATGGCCGTCTCCCCAGGCCCAACCATGCTGCCTGCGTGGGCCCTCTTGGCCCTGGGCTTGTGGGCTTTTAGTCTGTGCTGAGACCTGCTGGAGACTGGGAATGGCTCTGGGGAGGGGAGGGTACAGGGCTGGAGGAGCAGTGGCCTGTGAGAGCTGTGGCCTTGGCCGTGACCAGCCCCCTCCCGTGCAGGCTCCTCCCCGGTGCAGGTGGTTACGTGCTTGACGCGGGACAGCTACCTGACACACTGCTTTCTCCAGCACCTCATGGCCGTGCTCTCCTCCCTGGAGCGCACGCCGTCACCTGAGCCTGTCGACAAGGACTTCTACTCCGAGTTTGGGGACAAGAGCACAGGTACCCCCACCCTGGGCCGACATCGCGGCCTCCGCGCTGACCCCCGGGCCACGGCAGGCTCCAGAGCGTTTCTGCATTCCAGAACTGCTCTGCCCCTGTCTCCCCATCACTTACATCGCTTTACTGGCCAGGGTTTTACTCGAGGCTTTTCCATGGTCGAGCCTCCATCCCAGCAAACCCTCTCCCAGTCAGCAGACACATCTTAAGACACATCTGGGTTGCTGGCCTGTGATCTCTGCCTGAGGGTGGGGGCTCAGAGGGTCGCCCCCGCCTCTGGCAGACAGCAGCTCGTGCTAGGGTCTCTGGGTGGCTTAGGGTCCGTGGTGCTCCCAGCTCCACCTCAGACCAGTCACCGACTATAGCCCTGGCGGCCTCTCTCTGCAGGAAAGATGGAGAACTACGAGCTGATCCACTCAAGCCGTGTCAAGTTCACCTACCCCAGCGAGGAGGAAATCGGAGACCTGACGTTCATTGTGGCCCAGAAGATAGCTGCGGCGGAGCAGGCTCCGGCCCTCAGCATCCTGCTGTATGTGCAGGCCTTCCAGGTTGGCACCCCACCATCTGGGCGCTCCAGGGGCATGCTGCGCCCCAAGACCCTCCTGCTCACCAGTGCCGAGATCTTTCTCCTGGACGAGGACTATGTCCACTACCCACTGCCTGAGTTCGCCAAAGAGCCGCCACAGAGGGACAGGTACCGGCTGGATGACGGCCGCCGCATCCGGGACCTGGACCGCGTACTCATGGGCTACCAGCCCTACCCGCAGGCCCTCACCCTCGTCTTCGACGACGTGCAGGGCCATGACCTCATGGGCAACGTCACCCTGGACCACTTTGGGGAGGTGCCAGGGGGCCTGGCCAAGGCTGGCCAGGGCCATGAGGTCCAGTGGCAGGTGTTCGTCCCCAGTGCTGAGAGCCGCGAGAAGCTCGTCTCGCTCCTGGCCCGCCAGTGGGAGGCCCTGTGTGGCCGTGAGCTGCCTGTTGAGCTCACCGGCTAGCCCAGGCCCAGCCACCCCTTGCCGCCTGCTAGTGCGGGGAAGCAGGCTTTTTGTGTTCTTTTTAGAAGTGCTTTGCCCTCCCTTTTGGTACCTTAATTTGACTGTCAGTGCGGAGAACGTAAACACACGTGTTAATTCTTTCCATTCCCAGGGGTCAAACACCAGGCCCATGAGGGGCTGTCCGTGCCCCTCAGCCTCCTGCAGGCGTGTTGCCTGCCTGCAGTGTGACATGGCCGGGCACACCAGTGTCGTGTCTTTTTTCGTGGGACCGTGTCACCAAGTGGCACTGTGGATCTGTTGTACTCTTTTACATGTCTTTTCTGAAGTGTCAAATCCAGTCCTTTGTTGCTGTTGTCATTTTGCTGCTAATCATGAAGCTGGTAGCAAAATGCACATTGGAAGCCCCCGCCCGTGCCTTTTTCAAAGTGGAAGCCTCCCTGGTCCAGACAGGTGGGAGAGCCCTGTCGGGGGCAGGGGTCCTCCAGGCCTTGGGGCTGAGAGGGATGGGGGCAGGGGACCTAGAGCTGCCAGCACCCAGCGTGATTCTTGTTGCCTGTTTTCTCTATTCCAATAAAGCAGAGTTTGACACAGTCTGGGTCTTTGAGCTCAGGTTGGCATGGGGGAGAGAGAATGCCCTGGACACGCAGGAAGGCAAGGTGGTTGTGGGGAAAGGAGGGTGGGGAGGTGAAGGGGTGGAAGACAAAGCAAGTGGCCTTCCTGGGCCAGAGAAGCCTGTTGGGTGACACTGGAGCCCGGATGGAGGAGGTGTGCGGGGCACCCTGTACAGGGCCATGCTGGAGCACCTAAGCCACAGCTGGGGCCAAACAAGAGGTCTGTGGAAGTCCTCAGGGCACACGGCCTCCTGCCTCAGGCTGGGTCTGCAGGCCTTGAGTCTCACCCTGACCCAAGGCCGCCAGAAACTGCTGCCTGTGGGGGGGCGAGGGGGGCTGGAATCTGCAATCGCCAGGGAGGATGTGGTTGCTGGGCTTCTCACCAAGATGGCCCTGATGGCAGCAGGGGGAGGGCATGTGGGAAGTGGGAGCCAGGTGGTGGAGAAGAGGGTGCTGCACCCCACGCGCCTGCGTCCATGTTCTCAGATACGCACCCCACGCGCCGGCGTCCATGTTCTCAGATACGCACCCCACGCGCCGGCGTCCATGTTCTCAGATACGCACCCCACGCGCCGGCGTCCATGTTCTCAGATACGCACCCCACGCGTCTGCGTCCATGTTCTCAGATACGCACCCCACGCGTCTGTGTCCGTGTTCTCAGATACGAGGCTGCCTCGGAGCCCTGCTGAGATAGGACCACCTGTAAATGGGATAGTGACAACCAGGGGCCTGGCACACAGGCCTCACCGCTTGGCATGAGCTAAGTGAGGCTGCTAACAGCCATCCCGGTGCCCCGGTGCGTGAGAACAGGACTCCCCGTGGGGGGTGGGGTGGACTGCAGGCAGCAGACCTGGGCTTGGGTCTGTTGTAGGGGAAAAAGTATCAAGTTTAGTAAAGCAAAGAAAGTTTTATTCGGCATATATTCGAAAGGACAAAAGTGGGAAGCGGACAAGCATGCTGCCAGAGCTGGAATGTCTGCCCATGTCAAAGGAAATATCACAGAACAGACAAATGTGGGAAGAGGGACAAGCATGCTGCTAGAGCCATGTCTGCCTGAGTCCAGAGAATATTATAGAACAGGCCAGAATGGGAAAAGGGACAAGCATTCTGCCACAGCCATGTCTGCCCGAGTCCGAAGACCATTACAGAATCATCAGTATATATTAACATTACAAATCGGCAAAACCATTGAAAGCTTCGCCTTTTCAGATTGGCTAGAAAATGAGATGCTACATTTTGAATTGTCTTTCTTAACAGTCATTGGTACAGGTTTCAGTAATGAGAGTCAGGAGGGTCTTCATTGGTCCAACAAATTTCTATTCACTAAATGCTAATAGAAAAAGATAAGAGTGGAAAGTCTTTTGTGTTCTGTTTGATCGGCTTTATGTGAAAGTTTCCCTAAAAGATATTTTCCAAGATTATCTTAGCTATTGTCTTTATACCTCAGGGCCCAGTTGATGTGTCCTTGTGGGGTCTTGTAAGCCCAGCTCCAGCTGGGTCAGATTCTCTATGCTCAAGGACAGAATAATAACTCCAGTATTATTTCCTAAATCAGATCTTCCTCACTGGTCAGCTGAGTGACGTTGGACAAGTTACCTGGCCCTTTTGAACCTCAGTTTCCCACCAGTAACAAGGGATGATAAAAGTAACCACCTTCATTCATTGCGCCAGTGGGTACTGAGCGTCTACTGTGTGAGGCAGCAAGCCCGACACAAAGTTAAGTAAACCAGGGTCAGCTGCTGGTCTTTGACCTGAGACAACCTGTGAGAAGGCGTTGCTGAGGTGACAGCACCCGCATGTCAAGGGGGCTCGCTCATGTTTAGGAGTGGAAAGGCCCACGTGGCCGGAGCAGAGAGACCGGGAGAGCTGGGAGGAAGCCTCGCCAGAGAGGCCAGCGCAGCTGGGAGGGAGCCTGCAGGGGGAGGGGCCTGCAGCTGGGAGGGAGCCTGCAGGGGGAGGGGCCTGCAGCGGGGAGGGGGCCTGCAGGGGGAGGGGCCTGCAGCGGGGAGGGGGCCTGCAACTCCGCGGGGAGGGGGCCTGCAGGGGGAGGGGCCTGCAGCAGGGAGGGGGCCTGCAACTCCGCGGGGAGGGGGCCTGCAGGGGGAGGGGCCTGCAGCAGGGAGGGGGCCTACAGCGGGAAGGGGGCCTGCAGCCAGAAGGATGGGGAGGGAGGGGTTGGTAGCAGGGAGACCGCTGAGGAGGCCCGTCCGGGGGAGAGGATGATGGTGCACAGACTCTGGTGGGCGTCGAGAGTGGGGGAGGCCGAGTGAGCAGGACCCCCTGTTGGAGTGCATGGGGCAGGTGAGAGCATAAGCCTTAGATGGGCTTAGCATGGCACCTGGCACAAGGTCAGAAGAGCCCCGAAATGCCCTCAGCAGTTAGAAAGGTGGAGGTGGGAGCTGACAGACCAATTTCGGGGTGGGGGGTGCTGCCCTCCTTCCCAGTCGATGACCAGACCCCCACAGAGCCTCTGAATGAAATGTGCAGGGGTTGGCAGACAGATGGGGTGAGGAGCTGTTCGCATTTGAATTTGCTTTGGAATCTCTGAGAGGCCCCACGCGCCACGGCTAACAGGCGGGCTGAGGGCTGTGACAGCCAGGAGGAGGGTCTGGGCCATCCATGCAGGGGTCAGGGGCAGCGCTTTCCCTTCCGCCTGTAGGTTGCTGATACGCAGGAGGAAATCCTGGCGGGTTCCTGTTGGGGTGAGCTGGCGGGGCTTCCGGGATGCATTTAAGGCGCCTGCCCGCCCAGTGCCTGCCTCCTAGAGCTCAGTCCCCACACTGGCCACCCTGACTCTGTCCCGGACAGTGTACCTACCAGCCGCCGCCGGCCATGGCAGGGCCCCACGGCCTCCTCCTGCTCTGCCTCCTGGCCTTCTGTCTGCCACCACTGAGCTTCGTCAGGGGGCAGAAGGTGAGTGTGAGTAAGTTACAGGGGGACATGGCGTCTAGGTCCTGCCAGCTATGGGAGCAGGGCGGGAGCATACACAATGGCGCTCAAGTCTGAGGACACGCGGGGCGGCTGGTGCCTGTGTGACCTTCCCGAGCAGGCCCAGGCTAAGGGTCTGTGTCCGGCTGCCTGGGGTGACAAGGGGGCGTCGGCTTGCTTCCTCCATGCCCAGCCAGCCACCTGTGTGGTGTGGCCCTCTATCCCAGGGCTCCTCAGCCTGAAGGTGAGGGGAATCAGCCTCCCCTGGGAATCGGTGATGTGATCGCCCCAAACCACACAGGGCCACAAACTGAGAGACTCAGGAGGACTGTGTGTGTGTGTGTGTGTGTGTGCCTGCTGGGAGTGTATGCACATGTGAGAGTGTGCCCCAAGAGTGCCCAGGAGGTGGGATGAGAGCTACTCACCCCCGGGTCCTCTGGGAAAACAGATAATACCTCAATCCTAAGAGCCTCTGTTGATCAAACGCAGAGCCGGGCCACGATCCCCCTGAACCTTTACAACCACGGACATGGGTTCTCTGTGAGGAAGCCAAGCCCAAGGGATGGGGGAGACAGGTCACCCCAACTCTGAGGCCATGCTCCAAACCACTGCCCGCCCCTACTCATGCAGGCTGCTGGATGAGCCGACAGGGACGAGTATGTACCCTCTCAGGTCCTATAGGACCAGCCAGGCTCATGGGAGGGATATGTTCCCTTTGGAGCCTCTGGAAGAACCTTCCACTTGAGTGTGCAGATAGCGTCACCTGGAAGGCCCTCCCTGTGAGCCAAGTTCCCCAAGGCACTAACAGGCAGACTGAGGGCCAGAGAGGGCAAGGACTTGCCCGGGGTCCCACTGCCAGGCATTACCAGGACGGGCACCCAGGCCTTCTGCCACCGTCCGACTCTCTTTCTTGGGTTCCATGTGGTGAGAGGGGGCAGGGAGAGGGGCCTCACCAAGTCAGAGTTAGGAACGGGCAGACCTGGGGCTGAGAAGACATCAGTGATGGTGGAAGAGCAAGCTGTTCCAGAGCTGTGCTGTGCTGAGCCCTGCGGGTGGTTCCTGCCCCCCCCATGCCTCAATTTCCCCATATGGACAATGTGAGGGAATTTCAAAGGCCTCACCACTTCCTCATGTTCTGGGATGATGGGGACAGGGGTCAGTGAGGGGCCTCAGGCTGGGGTTTTCACTTGTTGATGACCTGAGGCTCTGACCACACTCTAGCCTGCATGCTAGAGTTGTGGCTCAGCCAGCCTGGGCAGGGGAGAAGGTTCCGGGGGTTCTTGCCCACGGGAATGCAGCAACGCTGGCCTCATCCCTCCCACCCTCACGGTCACTCAGCCCTGCTGGCACCCTGTATCACATGAGACCCACTGCAAATATGAGGAAACTGAGGCTCAAGGGAAGGGATGTCCCCTGGGCCTCACAGCCAGAAAGGGGCAATAGCAGAACTTGAACACACGCAGATTCAGGCAGTGGAGGTAGGGGAGGCTTCCTGGAAGAGGGTATCTTAGGACTCGTCCACTCAGCAGCCTCGGACGGAGCACCTATTCTGTGCCAGGCATGTGCTGCTGGTGCCCGTGCACTCGAGCCCAGACCCGGCCCCTCCCACTCTGCTGTGGCCTGGGGGAAGCTGCTTGGGGGTCCCTTTCCCTCCGAGCGGGGAAAGCCCGGAAAGCCCTCGAGCCCAGCTTGGGGGGATTCCTTCTACCACCAGGCTCCATACCTCGGCCCCCTTAGCATCCCTAGCAGTGTCTCTGTGGGAAGCAAACGGTACCAAATCAGTTCTGGGAATGGGGTATAGGGGTGGGCCAGCACTCTGCCTCAAGCAGGTCCCACAGGGAGAAGGGGATCTGGTTCAGCACCCAGGCTGTGGTCCAGCCTCACTCCACCCAGCAGGACCAACAGCAAGGTATGGGCTCAAGGTGCTAATGAATGTTCCTTGGCTACTAGGTGGGGCGGGAGCTGGGTGCAGCTGCGGTGGGTGTGTCGGGTTTGGGCTGCAGGCTTATCTGTCCATCTCCATTTCATGCTCCCTGACAAACACTGACATCTTGTAAATGGGTGTCCACGACCAGGACCCAGAGCTCCAGTTTTCTTCCCAGCTGTAACTCATTCACTGTTTCATCAGACCTGACCCTTATCCAGTGGTGACCTCACTGATACTTCTGCTCAGTGGCCAGGTGGCCCCCAGGGGAGCCTGCCACCCACTGAGCTTTTGCCCTGAGCCAGGAGTTACCCAATTTCCTAGTTGCTCCCTGGCTCAGCAAAGACGGAGTCGCAGGGTGGGGAAGAAGACCACAACATCCTAGCCCCACTGCTGCTCTGCAGCCGCTCTGGGCAACTTCCCTGTTTCCTGACCGCAAAGGCATGAGCGGAAAAGCCCAAATCACAGCGGTGGAGAGGCCCCGGGACCCGCGTGCTTCCCCAAGAAAGGATCTGGACACTATTTCTCCTTTTCTCTCCTTTGAGAAGCCTGACTCTGTAGTTTTTTTCTAAGAAAGAGATGTTCTGGCTCACTGCCTTGGGACCACAGTGTGTTCAGCATTTTTCAAGATGAGAACATCTCAGCTACTCCAGGCTGTGCCCCAAGCCCCCAAAAGCCTCTCCTCCATCAAAATGTCCCTTTTCTCTGCCCCATTCTCTTGCTATAACCATGACTTTAGATTCTGCCCCTTCAGGGTACAATGCTATAATTTCCTGGGACTATGTTGCTGCCAGGTGGCCCCGGTGGTGGACTTCTGGCCCTCTGCAGGCCAATGAGTGAAACCGTGGGCCACGTCACTGTGGGAGGCCTGACCCTCTCAAACCTCCCATTGATGCCCGTGGGACCTTCACCCAACAGGGGCTGACGCCTCCCGCAGCTCATCCCGTTGCCCCCAAGTCCTATCAGCGCCACTGTCGAACATCTCTCTGTCTAGGCCTGCTGCCCAAGCCTCGGCCCAGGCCACCCACAGGTGGTCTCACCTCAACCACCGCTTACCCTGCCCCCACCTCCACTCTGTTCTCCACGCAGCAGCCAGGGGGCCCGCTTAAAACCCAAACTGAGTCGGCGCTGCCCCGAGCTCTGCCTTGCCCAGGCTCACAAGGCCTGCTGTCCTGGCCACCAGCCCCCTCCTGACCTCTCCTCAGGCCGCTCTGCCTCCTCACACAGGGTCAGTTGCTCCTTCCCACTTTCGGGCTTTGCCTCTGCTGCTCCCTCTGCTGGGGCACCGCCTCCGCCCTCCACTGTCATGACTCCCAGCCTAGTGCTCCATCTTTCCTTCTTTTACAAATAAATAAGCAATAAATGACATGGCTGACACTGTTCGGAAGGAGAATATAGGGACTCCATCCTCAATTTATGCGCACACAGGAAACGCGGGCTCCCAGCCAACAGGCTGCCTCCACCTGTCTGCTCCTGGCATGCGGGAGCTTGCATGCAGAGGGGTGTCTGCAGACATCAGAGACAGGCAGGCACTGCTCCCTGAGCCCTGATCCAAGGTCTGGCCCACCGCCCTCACACACAGGCTGGGACCCGGGGCTCTGTGTGATGCCGGCAGCCCAGGGAACTGTCAGGCCTCAACTCAATTGTCACTTCCAGGGGCGGACTATCCAATAAGCAAGGTAAGCATGGGCTTACTTGTGCTTACTTACTAATCTGTAGTGAACAATATCACGCCTTTGATGTGGCGGAACCCATGTGAAATTGTACACTACAGATTAGTAAGTACAAGTAAGCCTGTGCTTACCTTGCTTACTGGGTCATCCGCACCTGTCAGGGATTGTAAAAACTTGAAAAAAGGCTTTGATTCTGTACGAAGGTGCTGTGAGGTTGGGAGAGAGACAGATAGCAGCTGTACCTAGAAGCAGAATGTTTGATGTGGTGGAAAAAAATGTGAAATTGTTCACCACGGATGATCTGGTAAGCAAGGTAAGGAAAGTGCTTACCTTGCCTATTGGATAATCCGCCCCTGGTCACCTCCCCCAGGAAGCTGCCTATGTCCCCAGGCTGGGGCTGTCAGTTCCCTGCGCTGCCAGCATCACGCAGAGCCCCATGTCCTGGCCTGTGTGTGAGGGCGACGGGCCAGACCTGAGGTCAGGGCTCGGGGAGCAGTGCCTGCCTGTCCCCGACGCCTGCAGACACCCCTCTGCATGCAAGCTCCTGCGTGCCAGGAGCAGACCGGTGGAGGCAGCCTGCTGGCTGGGAGCCTGCATTTCCTGTGCGTCCATAAATCAAGGATAGAGTCCCTATATTCTCCTTCCAAACAGTGTCAGCCATGTCATTTATTGCTTACTTATTTGTAAAAGAAGGCAAGATGGAGCACTAGGCTTGGAGTCTGGAGACACGCTTCTGGCCCCCGATTCCCTTCACTGGGCGACTGAGGCAGGGCCACCCACCCTGAGCTTCAGCTTCCTTACTTGAAATGGGCAGAGATAGAAAAAGTGGCTAAATTTCCTTCATGTCGGAACATACAGACGCAGGCTGCTGGGCATGCCTCAGGGGCGTGGGCAGAGGGACATGGGCAAAGATGGGGTCCGTGGGGAAAGAAAGGCACGTGGCCATGGGCAAAGAGACACAGCTGTGGCAGCAACGACTCACGACAGGCAGGGTTCCCTCAGTCTCTCAGGGCTGTCCCTGTCCTCGCTGCATCCCCATTGAACAGATGGGAAACTGAGGCCCGGGGAGGGGTGCAAGGACTTGCCGAGACCAGGACAGAGTCAGGCCTGGCCACGGAGTCCAGCGCCTCACTCAGGCTCTCTGTGCCCCACCCCCGGTCCAGGCGCGGTCCAAACGCTGTGACATGAAGACCAAGTTTGTCACCCACACCCCCTGCACCCCATGCGTCGCTGTCAAGAGGCGGGTGTGTCCCCCAGGCTGGCTCCGGCAGTTCCCTGAGAAGATATCACAGGACTGCCGGTGCGGACCCCTAGCCCCATCCGTACCCGCTTCCAAGAGCATCCCATGAGGCGGCAGGGGGCAGGAAGAGCCCTGATAGGCCTGGGGGTGAGGGCCCCGCCTAGGAGCCCTACAGTGGGGCAGAGACAGGCGAGGGGGAAGGAGTTGGAAGGCAGAGGGCAAGGTGGGGTTTATTGAGCACCTAATATGTGCCAGGCCCTGTGCTTGACTCTGGGCCAGGCAGAAACAGGGGAGATGGGGTAAGGCACTGGAACCCAGTGTGGGGTGCCTGGGGTAGGGACTGCTTGGTGGGAGCCCCTCACACTATCCTGCCCACCCTCTACCCCCAGCTATGAGGTGCAGCTGGGGGACTCCTTGCTGCCCATGAGTGGCTGCAGCCTGGAATGCTGGAAGGAGGTGACGCAGAAGGCCTGCTGCCCCGGCTACTGGGGGTCCGAGTGCTACGGTACAGGGGAGAGGTGGGGGGGTGACCCAGCCCGAGCCCCCATCTGCAGGTGCTACCTGTGTGCCCTTCCACATGTTCATTTAATGAGCGTTTACTGAGAGCTCCAAGGCTTGGCTGCCTGGTGCTGGCTGCCCTGGGGAGGGGCTGAGCCTGGGGCTGGCCAGAGCTGGGGTTTAGCGGCAAGTCCAGGGTTCTAGGGGTGGAGCTGAGTTCTCGGGGTCCACAGAGTGCCCTGGGGGTGCTGAGACCCCATGCAACGGCCGTGGAAACTGCCTGGATGGCATGGCCAGGAACGGGACCTGCGTGTGCCAGGTAAGAGCTGGACGGGGGTGGGGGATGGGATGGGGGCAGTGGAGGGGCCACGCTGACTTGGGGCATCCCGCTGCCAGGAAGGCTTCAGCGGCTCAGCCTGTCAAGAGTGCCGAGACCCCAGCCGGTTCGGGCCAGACTGCCAGTCGGGTGAGTGTTTGGGGGGCTGAAGAGCAGAGCCAGCATTCACCAGGGGCCTGTGGGGACCCGGCCCCTACTTGTCCCTTCAGCCTCCCTCTCAGCCCCTCGGCCTTGCCCTTCCCCCTCCAGGGACATACGCTGCTTCATCCCACCTCCAGACTCTTGCACATGCTGTTCTCCTTGGAGCCCTCCTCCAGGAAGCCCTCCCTGAACCCCCAGGCTAGGCCACGTGCTCCCCCTGGGCCCCTACAACCCCTGTACACACCTGGGGTTGTGCTGTCAAGGCTGAGTTCTGGGAGTGCCAAGGGCAGAGACCTGGTGTCCCTGAGTGTCCCGGAGTGAGGCTGGTGTCCCCCGTCCCTATGTGTCCCTCCCAGTGTGCAGCTGTGTGCATGGTGTATGCAGCCATGGGCCGCATGGAGACGGAAGCTGCCTGTGCTTTGCTGGATACACCGGCCCCCGCTGTGACCAAGGTGAGCAGTGGTCCTCGGTCGCCAGGGCAGGGAGGCAGAATGGGTGAGGAATGGGGCCTGAGCTCCAGCCGGACCCCTGCCCACAGCCTGATCTCTTTCTAAGGAGAGGCATACAGCTGGTCATGGGGGAGGGGTGTCATCCAGGACCTCCACCATCCAGAGGCCCAGAGAGGGCAGGGCCTGCCCAAAGTCACACAGCAAATCAGGGCTGAGCCAGGATGCCACACAGGCTGCACATTTGCCCCTGTGCTCCTCCCCAGCCTGGGGCTCTGGCCATTTTGCTGCTCTCTCCTCTCTGCCCAGAGCTGCCAGTCTGCCAGGCCCTGCGTTGCCCCAAGAACTCCCAGTGCTCCAAAGAGTCCCCCACCTGCCGCTGCCTGCCCGGCTACACCCAGCAGGGCAGCGAATGCCAAGGTGAGCCTGTGACCTGGTGGCCGGGGACCCAGCTCAGGGTGGACAGGCGCTGGGAGCTTTTAACCCAGCAAGTGCAACTTGGCCCTTCACAGGGAGGGAGAGCTGTCCCCAGGGCCCACCCTCAAGGCCCGCCACCCACTCACCCGCCTTTTGGGCCTCCCTGGTGGAAGCTGTGCAGGAGATGGGGCCCCTGGTGCCCAGCTTACTTGGACTCTTGCTCTCTGCCCTGGTAGTCCGTGATCCCTGCCGGCCACTGTCACCCTGCGCCCCGCTGGCCCAGTGCTTGGTGAGCCCCATGGGGCAGGCACAGTGTCACTGCAGAAAAGGCTACCACGGTGACGGGATGGTGTGTCTGCCCCAGGACCCGTGCACCACCAACAACGGGGGCTGCCCCAGCAACTCCACCTTGTGCACGTACCAGAGGCCAGGCGTGGTAAGCCAGGGCCTGGATGGGCCTGCCCACGGCCCACCCACCCACCGCACCCCCCAGGGTCCACCCACCCACAGTCACCCGCCCACGCTGGCTGCAGGACCCTGGCAAGTCACAGGTCCCCTTGAAGCTCAGCTGCCCCGTTTGTAAAATGGGGAGGGGATGAGAACCCTGTTCTCCGAGGGTGGTTGTGAGGGTCGGGCAGGGCTCTGCGGGTATGGCGACACCAGCTGTTCTCATGGACGTGATGTCACCCTCCTGTGCCCGGCGACCCAGGCCTCCTGCTCGTGTAAGCCCGGCCTGATCAGCTTCAACCACAACGCCTCCGCCGGCTGCGTCGCCTTCTGCTTCCCCCACTCCTGTGACCGGTCAGCCACCTGCCAGGTGACCCTCGATGGGAAGATCAGGTGCACACAGGGGCCTCGGGGGCACCGGGGGCTACGCAGGGAGGGCTGGTGGGGGGCAGGGGCAGGGCGGGGAGGAGGTCCTGGCCAGGCCTCCCTGCCCTGACGGCTCTCCCTGTGCACCCAGCTGTGTATGCAAGGAGGGCGAGGTGGGGGATGGGCGTGCCTGCTACGGACATCTGCTCCATGAGGTTCGAAAGTCCAGCCAGGTGGGCCTGGTGTTCCTGCGTCTGAGAACCGCCCTCGACATGCTGGGTGTGTGAGCCACCGGAGGGAGGGGCACTCTGCCGAGGCTCCTGTTCTGCCCAAGGGCTGTGACAGCCTAGAGCAGGCTGTAGGGGTGCAGGAGTGGGTGGCGGCTGGCTACCCCCCAGACCTAGGCCTGAGGCCCCTATCTCCCCTAGAGCTAGACCCTGTGGCCCCGCCCCACCTGCCCACACTGAGGACGAAGGGTCTTCCCAGGCTCTGCCCCAGGTCCAGTCTGACGGAGCCTCTCCCCGCCCCTAGACCAGGGCTGCCGGGAGCTCCTCACCACTGCGGGACCGTTCACCGTGCTTGTGCCGTCCGTCATCCCCTTCTCCAAGAGCATGAACGTGAGCCCACCCCGTCAAGGAGCTGGCGCTGCCCTTGCCTCTTCCCCAGGACCCTGCCCCTAGCTTCCGGGCCCTAAGCGAGCCCCAGGCCACACTCTGGGGACTGAGGCCCAGGGGGCATCCTGTCCCCTCCATTGCCCCGGTAGAGGCGGCAGGGAGAGGCCGGCCCTGGCTCACACGGCACCCCTGGCCCTGCAGGCGTCCCTTGCCCAGCAGCTCTGCAGACAGCATGTCATCGCAGGCCAGCACGTGCTGGAAGAGGGGGGCCCACAGACACGCAGGTGGTGGACGCTGGCTGGGCAGCTCATTACTGTCACCTTCAACCGCTTCATGGTAAGGGAGAGGACCTCAGCCCGGGGGGCAAAGAATCACAGACAGGGGACACAGCCCAGGCAAAGTTGTGGAGGTGAAAGGAGGCGTGTGGGGTCTGAGCCAGCTGTCTTCTGCCACAGCACAAATACACCTACACATACGATGACCAGCCCCAGAGGAAACTCAGCATCCATAGGCCCAACTACCCAGCCGCCAATGGTGTCTTCCACATGGTCACCACCCTGAGATCAGAGCCCCCCTCAGGGGTTCCTGGGGACCCCGAGGTGAGTTGGCACTCTCCCCTCATCCCATCCTCTCCCCCACTTCTCACCCGATGCCCCTGAGTGACCTCTGACTCCTGCAGAGTTCAAAGGAGGAGGCAGAGGCAGCTCTGGGCAGGGCTAGAGCACGGCTGCTCCTCCAAGGGCTGAAGCAGCCTCGCCCATTCCCTGGGACCCTCATGTTCATCCCTTCCTGCAGAGAACTATCGGCAAGATCCTCGCCTCCACTGAGGCTTTCAGCCGCTTTGAGACCATCCTGGAGGTGAGTTGAAGGAAGTTGCTGAGCTAGGGGGCCTCGTTCATCAGAATCTGCCCCACTGTTACCTGGGCTCTGGAGTAGCCTGAGCCTTTGCCCGCGCCCCAGCCTAGAGCCTACTCACTGCAATGCCGAGGTTTTGCATAGCAAGGACCCACTGCTGGTGTCTCCCACTTCCTCCTGGTGGGAGTTTCCTGTGGGCTGAGGGCAGCAGGGCCTAGGTGGAGCTTAGAGGTGGGGGCTGGCCTCAGCACCCCCTGAGCTGCCCCCCACTACCGCAGAACTGTGGGCTGCCCTCCATCCTGGACGGGCCTGGGCCCTTCACAGTCTTTGTCCCAAGCAACGAGGCCGTGGACAGCTTGCGTGACGGCCGCCTCATCTACCTCTTCACAGAAGTAAGCTCAGTGGGGCGGAGGAGCTGGGTGGACTGATGGGGTCACCAGGGTCTCCACACTCCTCCACCAGGCCTCCAGGAGCCAAGCCCTCTCTCTCCTGCCAGGGTCTGTCCAAACTGCAGGAGCTGGTGAGGTACCACATCTACAACCACGGCCAGGTGAGCGCCCCTGCCCCGGAGGCTGCTGGCTGGCGCCTGCTGCTGGGCTATTTGGGAGTTTGTCTGTGAATCCATCTTCCCAGGGGCCTCTTCTCCTCCCTGTCTCCTCTCCCCTCCCTCTGGGACTATTACAGCTCAGAGGAGGAGAGCCCCAGGACCAGAGAGGGTAGCTGTGAGTCACCTGGGTGGGACTGGGCATGGCTCCAAGGTGTGGCCAGTGCCCAGCCCAAGGGCACCCTCTCACCCACCCCAGATGACCACGGAGAGGCTCATCTCCAAGGGTCGGGTCCTCACCATGGCAAACCAGGTCCTGGTCGTGAACATCTCTGAGGAGGTGAAGTTCCACCAACATTTGGAATGAATGGGCAGGTGGACGGGCTGGGGACAACTGGCCAGTTGTTTGGCTTTTCTTGCTCTGCCTGTGTGTTCCATGCCCTGTGTGGGCAGGACACTATGCTAGGCCCTAGTGGGGGTCATGTGGGGGACTGATATAGTGGCTGGGGTGGGAGGGCTCCCAGGAGGAGGAGGGTGCTCCACGTGGTGGGAACTGCATGGTGAGGGCATGGAGCTGGGGCGGAATTGTTGGCCAGAGCAGGGGGCATCTGCCCAGGGGAGTGGGGAGGGGACACGCATGGTGGGCTGGGCTTGACCACCACACTAAGCTGCTCAGATCTAACTGAGCTGTGAGGTGCAGTGCAGGGCAGTGAGGGTGGGCTGGATCAGCTGGTCTGGGGCTGGGCGGGGTGCACAGTGGGTCTCTGCTGCAGGGACGCATCCTGCTGGGACCTCAGGAGGTCCCACTGCGGCAAGTGGATGTGCTGGCTGCCAACGGCGTGATCCACGTGCTGGAGGGTGTCCTGCTGCCCCCAACCATCCTGCCCATCCTGCCCAAGCACTGCAATGAGGAGCAGCACAAGATAGTGGAGGTGAGCAGGACTTGGGCCTTTCACTCCCAGACCCATGCAGGCTTCTGCAGGTGACTGTCTTCCAATTGTGAAGCAGAGGCTGAGGGAGGGGCGCCTTTTTCTAAGTCTCCTCAAGTCAGCAACTGGGATAACAGTGGCTGGGCCCACTGGCAGACCCACAAGCATCTCCCGGGGACCCCCCCACATCCAGCCCTTACCAGTCCGGTTGATTCTGCCTTGAAATTACTCTTGCAGCTTCCACTCCTCTGTCCCCAGACTCCCTGCCAAGGCCTATGAATCACCTATGATTTACCCGACTCAACCCTGGACCTCGTCTCCTAATGCTCCCCCATTCCTGCCCCTGGCCCCAGACACACTGTGCTCTTTCCAACCTCGGGGCCCCTGCCCTGGCTGTTCCTTCTGCTGGAATGTCACCATTGGCTTTCCCGGGGTTGGCTCTCTCATCCCTCAGGTCTCAGCTCAGTGTCACTTGCTTATGGTTTGCTGGGTAAATAAATGACTAAACCCCCTCCCTCCTCCTTACCCAGGGCTCCTGTGTGGACTGCCAAGCCCTGAACACCAGCACGTGTCCCCCCAACAGCATAGAGCTGGTGAGCACCCTTGGCCCAGCCCTCAGGGCTCCCTGACTCCTGACTGCCCAGCAAGGTTTCCGCCCTGGGTTAGGGTGGGAGAAGGGGCCAGGAGGCTAGGAGAAGCCTGAGACTCAGGACTTCTCAGCCCCACTAGGGGTGGGAGTGCTGGATCCAGAGAGCTGAGGCCTCTTGACCAGCGCTGCCTAGTGAAGGGGGTGGGCCCAGTGCCCACACCTGCTGACACCCTGGCATGGTCCACCCCCAGGACATCTTCCCCAAGGAGTGTGTCTACATTCACGACCCTGCTGGGCTCAATGTCCTGAAGAAGGGCTGCGCCCGCCACTGCAACCAGACCATCATGGTGAGCCCTAGGCATGGGGCACCCAATCCCAGGGTGACAGGGGACACGGAAGGGCCTCACTCGCCCCATTGCTCTGAGATGGGACCAGGGAGCGGCAAAGGTGGTGTGACCTACCACTCAGACATGGTCTGTCTCTTACAGAAACCTGGTTGCTGCAAAGGGTTTTTTGGACCTGACTGTGCGCAGTGTCCTGGGGGCTTCTCCAATCCCTGCTACGGCAAAGGCAACGTGAGTGCTCTCCTCCCTTGGGGTGACTTGTGGGGGAGGCAGGGGCTCCTTTCTGAGTTAGCCAGTGACTGTGTGTCTGAGCCAAGCCTGCCTCTCTCTGGTCTTGGGTTCCTATATCTAAGCAATGGAAGCTGGACCAAGTTATTTCTAATATTTTAATTAGAAAAAATTAATTAGATAGATGTTTGCATCTATTTTCACAAAGGCTATTTGTCAGTAGTTTTCTTATGCACTCTGTTTTTGTCACTTTGTGATAACAGGGTTACTTTAGCACCTGGCTATGGAAGTACACAGGAGTTACATGTTTCTAGGTTGAGCAGAAATCACCCATGAGACCTCCAGGGCCAAGTGCCTTTTAGGGGGCTGGTTCTTTAGCAGCATCAGTGATTTTGAAAGTCCCTTCCAGGTTGAGGTCTTGGAGACAGCAGCAGCTCAGGATATCCTGCTGGGGGAGGGACTTGGAGAGTGCCTTCTCCATGACTGATCCTCTCTGCTGCCCCCCCCACAGTGCAGCGATGGGGTCCAGGGCAATGGGGCCTGCCTCTGCTTCCCAGACTACAAGGGCATTGCCTGCCACATCTGCTCCGACCCAAAGAAACATGGAGACCACTGCCAGGAAGGTGAGTGGTCCCGGCCAAGGCTGCCTCCCAGAGAGAAAGAGAGTCTACTTGGAGAGGGGCCTGGGGCTCCCAAGAAGGGGAACAGGGCCCCTGGAGGAAGGGTGAAGGCCAGAGGGAATGGAGGAGGATTTGGGAACAGAAACAGATGTTTCCTTTACCCATGCCAGGAAGAGGACCATGACTTAATCTAAAGCATGCAGGATTTAGGTCAGACACACAGAAGAACTTCCTGATAATGATGCGGGGGCAAGGCAGCTAGAATAGGGTGAATGAAATCACAGGATGTCCCCTCACATTTCCTCTGCCTGTCCACCAAGTCTGGGATAACCTCTGACTTTGTGACCCTAAACTCAAGTCTACATTGGCTACCTCATTCTCAGCCTCCCCTAAACCCATCCTGGCTCCCAGCCAGCCTTGCCTCTTGCCTCAATTTCTCTGGTCCATCTCCTTTCTACAGACTGTGGCTGTGTCCATGGTCTATGTGACAACCGTCCAGGCAGCAGGGGTGTGTGCCAGCATGGCACGTGTGCCCCCGGCTTCAGTGGCCGCTTCTGCAATGAGTCCATGGGGGACTGTGGGCCCACAGGCCTGGCCCAGCACTGCCACCAGCATGCCCGCTGCATCAGCCAGGAGGGTGTCGCCAGGTGAGGACCCGTGCTTGGGCCCTTCCTCTTCCTCTTTGCCCCTATCGATGACCTTGCTCAGCCTCTAGCCTCTTCTAGAGGCTCACTGGAGTCCTCACCTTCCCCCATCCCAGGTGTGTCTGCCTTGATGGCTTTGAGGGCGATGGATTCTCCTGTACACCCAGCAACCCCTGTGCCCACCCGGACCGTGGCGGCTGCTCAGAGAATGTCAGTCTTGTTGCCCCCTCCCTAAAGCCCTGACCTAGGGACTCTCCTGGACCCAGAGTTTGAGGGAGAGAGGGAGGAGTGGGAGGTAGGACACTCCCTTCCCTCTGCCAGTGGCCCTGAGCCCCTGAGTCATTTGTCTGTGACTTCCTCAGGCCGAGTGTGTCCCCGGAGCCCCAGGTACCTACAGCTGCACGTGCCATGAAGGCTGGAGTGGGGACGGCCGGGTCTGCGTGGCCATCGATGAGTGCGAGCTGGACGCACGAGGCGGCTGCCACGCCGATGCCCTCTGCAGCTACGTGGGCCCCGGGCAGGTGAGGAGGGCAGGCCCAGGATGGCAGAGGGGGCTGGGGATTCAAGTCCTGGGGACCCCCTCCCTACCCCGCTGGACTCCAGGAACATCCACTCCAAGAACTCAAGTTCAGGATCTTGAGCCTCAGACACAAACGAGAATCCAGTTCTGAACTGTGGAGTCACAATCTGGGATTCGTCCATCATCCACGCATCTGTTCCGCACGTGTCCAGGCACCTGTTACATGCTAGTCCCTGCTGTAGACTTAGGGAATGCCATACTGAGCAAAGCAGGCGGAGGCCCTGCCTGGGGGAAGTGACATCCCATAATCTCTTAAAAAAACCAAACCCGTTGCCGTCAATTCTGACTCATAGTGATCTTACAGGACAGAGTAGAACTGCCCCATAGAGTTTCCAAGGAGAGCCTGGTGGATTTGAACTGCCAGCCTTTTAGTTAGCAGTAGTAGCTTTTAACCACTACGCCACCAGGGTTTCTCCATAATCTCTAGACTCTTGGAAATTCAGCTCTGGAACTCTGCAACCTCAGAATCTAGTCACGGGATCTTAGAGACTGAAACTTTCCATGTGGTGAACCTTCGGGCTGACAGGCATTAAAAATCTCTAATACACGGATTGGGAGGCCAGCCTGGCTGGTTCGGGGCCAAGCTCTGCATGGCATAGGGCTGTGCAGAGTCCCATGGGGCTCCCTGTCCTCCCAACCCCTTGTGGGGCCTTAGCAGGGAGAACTCAGGCGTGAGAGCTGGAGCCTCTGAACCCATTAGGAGCCTTAAAATGCAGAACCCAAGGACTTGAATGAGCAGGTTTAGACTGTTCCCAACCTGCCAACAGGGGCGTTGGAGAGCTGGGGGCGGTGTCTCACGGGTCACTCACCCGGCAGTGTAGAAAGCAATCTGGCATTTAGCAGGAAGGATCAGAGCAGCCCACCACGGCGGCAGGTGTGGAGGTGAGATCAGAGCTGCCATCCCTGGGGCTGGCCTTGGCAGACAGCCCACTCACCACAAGCTGCTGACCTGGGCAGCGTGGGCAGGGAAGCTGCCCATGCCATACCCAGCCTGAGTAGAGGGGCACCGAACCCCCATGGATGCTTCCCTGTGGTGTCACCACTTCCTCGACTGATCCCAAGAGCCAGTCTGCTCTCGGGGCCTCAGTCTCCCAACCTGGAAGTGGCCCTCAAGGGTGGGACTGGGAGGAGCCCCTCTGGGGTCTGGGCAGACCTCCCAGGGGCAGTGCCCAGGAGAGCCGAGAGGCGGAGCAGGGAACGCTTGGGCACTCTGGTGAGATGAGCCCTCTGCTGCCCCACCTGTCCAGAGTCGGTGTACCTGCAAGCTGGGCTTCGCCGGGGACGGCTACCTGTGCAGCCCCATCGACCCCTGCCGGGTGGGCAATGGTGGCTGCCATGACCTGGTGAGGAGGTGAAAGGGCTCGGAGCCCTGGAGAATGTATCCAGGCTGGGCCTAGGCTGCAGATCTCTCTCTCTCTGAGTGTCTCTGTCTTCTGTCAAGATGGGGATCTCACTAAACCCAAATCCAACCATGCCACTCCCTTTCCCATAAGATAAAGTCTTCACTCTCCCTTACGTTGGCCACGGGGCCCTGCAACACGCAGCCCAGCCTCCTCTCTCCATCATCCATCCCCCACTTTGCCCACCAGACTCACCTCCCTCCCCAAGCCAGTTGGAGCTCCCTGCTGACCCCAGACCTTGCTCTGCCCTAACACCTCCATACCTCCCTCATTCTCACAATCTCCACAAGGCCTCCCGTCCCACGTCCCACGTCCCACAACCTCAGCCTGGCTGGCTCCTCCTGTTCTCAGCCCAGTCTCCCCGAGCATCTGCCCCCAAGGCGGGGCCCGTGCCTCCTGGGCCTCCCACAGTCCTGCCCCTGCCCCATCTGTCCTTACGGGGTAGGGTAACTCCCCGTCAGATACTCAATGACCTGGGAGAGCAGGGCCAGGCACACCAAAGGAACCCCAGAAATTCAGACCGGGTGAGGGGGGATGGGTAGTGGGGGATGGGTGGCTGGGCAGGCAGATGGCCGGGGGTGGGAGACAAGAGTGAACAGTGAGAGAGAGGATGGGCGGGGTTGGCCTTATGGGTGCTGAATGGAGAACTGTGTCTCTGCCCTACTCCCACCCCAGGCCACCTGCCGGGCAGTGGGAGGAGGTCAGCGGGTCTGCACATGCCCCCTTGGCTATGGGGGTGACGGCTTCAGCTGCTATGGAGACATCTTGCGGGTAAGTGGTGCCAGACTCATTTCTGTTCTCTATGCTTGGGGAGGGGTCCTCCCCCGCACCACAGCTAGGAAAGGGGCAGTGTTCAGCGCGCTGGGTGGGGAGGAGGGCTTGGAGGAGGGCCCGTGACCTCAGCTCTTTCCCTCCCCTTAGGAGCTGGAGGCAAACGCCCACTTCTCTGTTTTCTCCCAGTGGATCAAGGTAGAACAGGGCAGAATGCTGGGGATGGGGGCTCAAATCCAGGAGGTCTCCCTGGGTGCAGGGGCACCACATAACACCTCCCAGAGTTGGAGGTTGGGGGCAGGCCCAGAGGCTGGGAGCAGGTGATCTCAAGGTGGTGGCTACATTCATCACACCCCCTGCCCCTGCACACCGTGGTTCCCAGAGCGCCGGCGTCACCCTTCCTGCCGACAGCCGCGTCACAGCCCTGGTGCCCTCTGAATCTGCCATCCGCAGCTTGAGCGCCAAGGACCGGGCTTTCTGGCTGCAGCCGAGGATGCTGCCGCAGCTGGTCAGGTAGGGCAGCTGGCGGGGGTGGGGGGGGTCTTCGGTGCAGGAGCAGCCCCTCCCAGAGGAGCGGGAGAATTGGGCCCTCAGACTGGCTTGCGACTACCTGTTTGGGGTGGACCTCAGCCCCTGGGGTCTCTGCAGGTTGCACTAACCTGGTTCTATAACCCTCTAAACTGCCCCTGCAGGGCCCATTTTCTCCAAGGTGCCCACTCTGAGGAGGAGCTGGCCCGGCTGGGTGGGCAGGATGTGGCCACCCTGAACCCCACCACACGCTGGGAGATTCACAACGTTAGTGGGGTACGTGGTGAACTCTGGGTGGAAGAGTGGGGCCAGGCAGGGCACAGGAGGGAGCCCCCAGACCAGGGACCCAAGGGGTGAGATTGGGGTCCCCTCAACCCGCCCAGTGTCTCACTCGGGAAAGTGAACTCAGGACACATTTGCTGATGGACAGTGTGTCTCTGGGCCCGAGGTGACCACCCTGGCAAGGGAGGTCTGTCCATCCTTGTCAGCACGTACACACCAGTCTCTCACGCAGAGGCCCTGCTGAGGGTCTGTGTGCCCATCTGGCAGGTCCTGAGTCTGAATGTGTCCAGGCCTATCTGTTCGTGCTGTACCCACATTAAGTAGCCCACCTGGGCTAAACTCCACCCTCTACCTTCCAGAGGGTCTGGGTGCAGAATGCCAGTGTGGAAGTGGCTGACCTCCTTGCCACCAATGGTGTCCTGCACATCCTCAGCCAGGTATGGAAGGGAGTGTGCATAGGGAACCTCCCAGGCAGCTGAGAGGCAGCAGCTCACTGACCAGCCCCCATGCTCCACCCCAGGTCTTACTGCCTCCACTCGGGGACGTGCTACAGGGACAGGGGTTATTGCAGCAGCTGGGCTCTGTGCCAGCCTTCAGCCTCTTCCAGGAGCTGCTGCAGGTACAGGAGGCCCGGTGGGGGCATCTGGTCAGGGGCACTGTCCCCCAGGTCTGGAGGGAGCTGGCCGGCTCCCAGGGTCAGGGCTGAGGGCAGCTATGCCCATCCCTGACTCCTGCCTCCTACCTCTAGCGCCACAGGCTGGTGCCCCAGATTGAGGCTGCCCCCGCCTACACCATCTTCGTGCCCACAAACCGATCGCTGGAGGCCCAGGGCAACAGCAGCAGCCTGGTGAGGCCAAGGGCAGCCAGGGTGAAGGGTGATGGTGGGGAAGGGGAGCCTCCCATCCCAGGGCAAGCGGCTCAATGGTGGAACGCGTTGCCCAGGGTGCTCGGTAGTCCTGGAGCCCCCTGAGCTCTCTCCTTCCCCCCTCCCCCCAGGACGGGGACACAGTGCGACACCATGTGATCCTGGGGGAGGCGCTCTCCCTGGAAGACCTGAGGAGAGGGGGACACCGTAACTCCCTCCTGGGCCCCGCCCACTGGCTGGTCTTCTACAACCACAGTGGCCAGGTTTGGGGGGACAAGGAGACCCCACCAAAGAGACCTTGCTTTTAGAGACCCTTTCCCTTTGGAGTTCCCCCACCCAAAAGCCTCCAACCTCTGCTCCAGTGGACCTGCCCATCCCGGAAGCCCTTCCATCCCTGGAGATACCTTCCAGCCCTAGAGTGCCTTTCTGGCCTTATAGCCTCTGGGGTGAGGGTGGTGGTAGGGTGCGGCGTGGGGGACACTCAGCCTCCTCCCCCACCCCACCCCAGGCTGAGGTGAACCACATGCCACTGGAAGGCCCCGTGCTGCAAGCCCCAGGCCGCTCACTGTTCGGCCTGTCTGGAGTCCTGACCGTGGGCTCAAGCCGCTGCCTGCACAGTCATGCTGAGGCCCTGCGGGTGAGGACTGGGGCCGGAGGAGGGCAGCGTGGGGAGTTAAGAGCTGGGAGCTGCTGGCTGGCTTGGCTGGAGGGGATAGGGTGCTCAGTCGGGGGTAGAAGCACTCTCAGGGGAAGGAGGAAGGGTTTGGGGCTCTCATTCCCGGACAACTTGACGCTGTGCCCTCTCTGCCCTCAGGAGAAATGCATCAACTGCACCCGGAAATTCCGCTGCACCCAGGGCTACCAGCTGCAGGTGAGGCTGGGCTTAGCAAAGCTCCAGCCTGCTTCTCCTGTTCCCCAGGTGTCCAAGCCCCCAGGCCTACTCAGCCCATGCCTGGGGGACTGGGGAACGGCATGGGCTGAGGACATCCCTGGTAGAGGCCAGGAGGCCTGGGCCCAGGTCTGCTCAGACTTGCGGCCCAAGTGCGTGACCCCTTGGACCGGGCTGGGACCCTGCCTGTCTTCCCCTCACCTGGTCTGTCTTGGACCCTCCCCAACTCTCTGCCATCCTTCGAGTTGGTCCCGTCCACTCTGATACCTGTAGTCCATCTGTCTCCCCATGCCCTGCCCTGCCTTGCCCAAACCACTGGCTGACCTTCCTGCCTGTCCCCCTTCCCAGGACACCCCCAGGAAGAGCTGTCTCTACCGCTCTGGCTCATCCTTCTCCCGGGGCTGTTCTTACACATGCGCCAAGAAGATTGAGGTTTGCCCCGAAGCCCCACAACCCTCCCAAATCTTTGGCCACACAGAAGGAGGTGGGAGTGGGGGTCCAGGGGAGGAGCCTCATTTCAAGGGCAGAGGCAGGGCTGGGGTTAGAGTGAGGCCAGTGCCAGAGGTAGGGGAGGGGGTCCAGAGGTTTGAGGCCAGAGGGGCTAGTGCTTGTCACTGTGTCCACCCTAGGGGCTGCGGGGAGGGAGAAAGGGGCTCAGCCCAAAGCTGGCCCCGTCAACCAAGCCCGAGAGGCAGTAACCAGGTCCCGGGCCCAGCTCTGCCCTTCACTGTGGGATCTGGGCTCGGCCTGTCCCTGCCTGAGCCTCAGTTTCCTCACCCCTGCCATGGGGAGGGTTGTAGAAAGCATTCTCCATGGCCCTTCCCTCTCTGAATGCCTGCACGCCCCTGGGTCTGGGGTTCCAGCTTGCTTAGTTCTATAGCTGCGTGGCTCCGAGGTGGCTGTCCCCTCTTCCCTGTTCCTTCTACCCCCTGACGCTCAGTTCTGGCCCATGCTGGAGATTGTCCCCTCCCCGGCAGGTGCCTGACTGTTGCCCCGGCTTCTTTGGCACACTGTGTGAGCCGTGCCCGGGGGGCCTGGGCGGTGTGTGCTCGGGCCACGGGCAGTGCCAGGACAGGCTCCTGGGCAGCGGGGAGTGTCGCTGCCAGGAGGGCTTCCACGGAACAGCCTGTGAGATGTGTGAGCTAGGCCGCTATGGGGCCAACTGTGCCGGAGGTGAGGCCTGGGGGGAGGCCAGGCGGGGGAGGAGGGCAGGAAAGGGGCACTAGGTAACTCCTGTCCCTTCTTGTCCCACTCCCAGTGTGTAACTGTGCCCACGGGCTGTGCCAGGAGGGGCTGAATGGAGATGGAAGCTGTGTCTGTAATGTGGGCTGGCAGGGCCTCCGCTGTGACCAGAGTGAGTGGGCCCCTCGGGGGAGGGGGCAGTGACTCCAGGGGAGGCAGTTCCTGGGTCCTAATGACCAGAACCATCCTCCTACTCCCCAGAAATCACCAGCCCTCAGTGTCCAAACAAATGCGACCCCAATGCCAAGTGAGTAAGCCCAGGTGGACGAGTGGGAGGGTGGTGGGATCAGGGCAGGGACTGGGTAGGCGCAGGCTGAGCCGCTGCCATCCGTTGCAGCTGCATTCAGAACTTGGCTGGAGCCCCCGCCTGTGTCTGCGCCGCGGGATACTCGGGCAACGGCACCCACTGTTCAGGTTCAGCCACACGGATGCCCTGGGCCCCTCCCTGAAGCCCTGGGGTAGCTGTGCCCACAGACTGCCTCCACTCCCACGAGGTCCCAGTCTCTACCGCCGTCCCAGCTCTGGTCCTGCCCCGCTCTGGCCTTTTCCTTTCTCCCATGCCCTCCTCCCCTCCCACCCCACTCCTGGGCCCACTCCTCATGGCTGCCTGGCTCCATCTGCCCCCAGAGGTGGACCCCTGTGCCCATGACCACGGGGGCTGCTCCCCCCATGCCAACTGTACCAAGGTGGCACCTGGACAGCGGACATGCACCTGCCAGGAAGGCTACACGGGCGATGGGGAGCTGTGCCAGGGTGAGGCTGGGACTCCCAACCTGGTGTGTGTGGGGCTGGAGGTCTGGCTTCCATGATCCGGGTCTGACTAGGAAGGGCTCAGGGCACACAGGGTTGTGGGGACTGAGGACACTGAGAGAGTCGGCGATGAGCACTTGGATGTTCAGATGGGCAGATGGATGGAGGGGCCACTGAGGGCCGCCCCTCAGCCCAGCGTCTCTTCCCTCAGAAGCTAACAGCTGTCTCATCCGCCACGGGGGCTGCCACATCCATGCCGACTGTATCCCCACGGGCTCCCAGCAGGTCAGTGGGGCAGGGTTGGGCACTGAGGTTGTGCCATCCCCCACAGGGGAGGGGGTGCCATTTCTGTCCTGGGCACTGGCCAGCCGTTGGCCCCAGCAGCCCCACTGATCAGGTTTTGGGGGACAGGTCTCCTGCAGCTGCCGGGAGGGTTATAGTGGAGATGGCATCCGGACCTGCGAGCCCCTGGACCCCTGCTCCCAGGTCAGGCCCTCAGTCCCACCTCATTCCATGAGGGGAGGGGGCTGGGGCAGGAACCAGCCCTCCTCACCCACTGCAGGTCCTAAGGGCCTCCGAAGGGTGGGCCATCTTCCCCCCAAGCGCCACTCTGGCTGATCTGCAGGAAATGGGGCTCTGGGGGTTGGGTGGGGTAGAGTCCTGGGAGCCACTGATGCCTCTTTCTCCTGTCCCTGCCTCAGCGCAATGGAGGCTGCAGCCCCTATGCAGTGTGCAAAAGCACGCGGGATGGCCAGAGGACGTGCACCTGCGACGCAGCCCACACCGTGGGTGACGGATTCACCTGCCGTGCCCGAGTTGGCCTGGTAATGATGCCCAAGTCTGACCTCTGACCTGACCTTCGCTATGCTCCATGGGCCTTACCCATGATCTTGGCCAAGATCCCTGGCCATGACCCTAAGCCTGACCCCTGACTCCACCTGGGCCCGACCCTAGCTATGACCCATGAAAATAATCCTAACCCCAGCTCAGACCCCCGTCCCCCTACCCCACCCCCCCGGCTTTCCTTTCCTCATCTCTGCCTCGGCCAGCAGACCTTGGGCTGAAGGTGCTGGAACAGGCACCAGGCCCTGAATGGGGGCCACCCAAAATCTGAGCTGATCCTCACCCCCCCAACCCCACCCCCCAGGAGCTCCTCCGGGACAGGCATGCTTCATTCTTCATCCTCCACCTCCTGGTGAGTGCCAGGCCCATGTCAACTCCCTCTGTCCAACACAGGCCTGTGTGACTTGCAGGCCTGTTCCTCTCTGGGCCTCTCTGAGTCGGGGTTGGCTGGGCTGGTCTCTCAGAGACCAAGTCTTTCTTGGAAGATCGTGGAAGCCCCAGGTTGGTCCCAGGTGGCTCTCCTTCCACTTGAGCTGTTCCCCCCATCCAAGAGTGAGGTGCCCTGGTTGCGCAATGGTTAAAGCACTCGGCAGTTCAAACCTACCAGCGGCTTCCAAGGGAGAAAGATGCGGCAGTCTGTAAAGATTACAGCCTTGGATAACCTTATACGAGCAGTTCTACTCTGTCCTATGAGTCGGAATTGACTCGACGGCAACGGGTTGGGTTTGGTTTGGGTTCGGTTCCTCCAGGAGTACAAGGAGCTCAAGGGTGACGGGCCGTTCACAATCTTCGTGCCGCACTCGGACCTGCTGACCAACCTGACGCTGGTAACACCCGCGGAGTGCGGCTGGGAGGGACGGGCCCTCGGGTGGTGGGCGCTGCGTGGGCAGAGGCGGCAGTCAGGAGCTGCCCACCCCCCTCACGACTCCCTCTCCAGGATGAGCTCGCCCGAATTCGCGCACACCGCCAGCTCGTGTTCCGCTACCACGTGGTCGGCTGCCGGCAGCTGCGGAGCCAGGAGCTGCTGGACGCCGAGTACGTCACGGCGTTGTCTGGGCACCCGCTGCGCTTCAGCGAGAGGGAGGTGAGCCTGAGCCCCTTCTCCTCTCTTCCCCTCCGACTCCAACTGCGACCCGCCCCCTAGGCCCAGGACTCAGCCCCCTCAAGCCCCGCCCCTTAGTGTGTGTGCCTGCACCCTACCCACCCCTGCACTTAAGCCTCTTCACCTCCCCCGGGCCGGGCGTCCTTCACTAAGAGGGAGAGTAGTCCTACCTCGTCCACTCCCACAATCTGGGCCCTGCTCCTTGCTTTGCCCTGAGCTGAGTACCTGCCGCTGCTAAGATGCTCGGAGAGGGAGTGAGCCCAGCCCTGTGCCTTGACTCCGCCCAGGGCCCCCGCCCTTCACCTGGCCACGCCCATCGCCATGAGCCGGGCCCATCACTCTGAACCCCGGACTGGCTGTGCTCCGAGACCCGCCCATCGCCCCCACGACTTAGCCCAACGCGGGCTCCGCCCCGCCTCAGGCCCCACCCACAGCTCCCGGGCACCCCACCAATCGGCTTCATTCAGCCTTGGGCCCCGCCCCCACGCGCCCGTGCCCCGCCCCCAGGGCAGCATATACATCAATGACTTCGCGCGCGTCGTGAGCAGCGACCAAGAGGCGGTGAACGGCGTCCTGCACTTCATCGACCGTGTCCTGCTGCCGCCTGACGTGCTGCACTGGGAGCCTGACGCTGCCCCAACCCCGCAGGTAAGACTTGGGTATGGGCTGGAGGCTGGGAGGCGGGCGGCCCGAGGCCCGGGTTCCCCCTCAGCTCCCCGCTGGACCTCGTGGCTCATGGGTACCTTTCCTCAGAGAAACGTCACCGCTGCTGCCGAGAGCTTTGGTTATAGGATCTTCAGTGGCCTCGTGAAGGTAATGCCCCTGTGTGTGCGCCTATCAGTGTGTGCGTATGAGCACGTGTATGTGGTGTCTGCCAGTGTTGTACGATGGTGTGTATGCTCACCTGTCCATGCTCACTATTCTGTGTGCAAACCCATCCCCTGCATGAGCACATCTGTGTGCACGAGCATCCCAGTGTGAGCACCGTGTGCGTTTATGTATGCTCACATACCTGACCATAGTGTGCACTGTCAAGGTGTGTGCAAGTCTGTGTGCGCAAGCCCATGTCTGCACGTGTGTGTCTGCCAGGGATGGCCGCAGCTGAGTGTGACTGGTGGGAACTCCTGGGTCCCTGGAGCACCCGGCAGCCCCTTCCTGGTCTGTCCTGTGCAGCCCCCTGCCTCTGCCCACCAGTTTCTGGCTAGGTTATGACGGAGACACCTCTGCCGCATCCCACTAGGTGGCTCGCCTCCTGCCTTTGCTTCAAGATGTGTCCCATAAACCGTTCACAATGCTGTGGCCCACAGACTCCGCCCTGCGAGCCCTGCCCCCTGAGCGCCAGGCCTGGCTGTACCACGAGGCTCATCGTGACAAGCTGGCAGCCATTCTGCGGGGCCATGTGATCCACAATGTCGAGGTGAGTGCACCTGCAGACCTTGGTCCCCACTGCCTGCAGCCCAGCCTGCCTGCCCAGTTTCAACTGTGGCTCCATCTGCTCAGGCCCTGGCATCCGACCTGCCCAACCTGGGCCCACTCCGCACCATGCATGGGACCCCCATCTCCTTCTCCTGCAGCCGCACCCGACCCGTGAGTCTGGGGAGAGGGCTTGGATGAGGGAGGTGGGAGGCAGAGGCCCTGGTTGTGAGCGTCAGCCGTGCGTTTGTGACCCCCATGCACCCCATGTCCTCCCCCTGCAGGGTGAGCTCATGGTGGGCGAGGATGATGCCCGCATTGTGCAGCGGCACCTGCCCTTTGAGGGTGGCCTGGCCTATGGCATTGACCAGCTGCTGGAGCCACCAGGCCTTGGTGCCCGCTGTGACAGCTTTGAGACTCGGCTAGTGCAGAAGGTGAGGGAGGCCCTAGATGGGTAGGGAACCCAGCTCACTTGTCCTGTCCATCTGACCTTACTGTGTGGGCCTCCATCCTGTCCAGGCCTGCAGCATCTGTGGACTGGAGCCACCTTGTCCTCAGGGCTGGAAGGAGCAGGTGAGGGGATGGGGGTGCTGGAGAGGGCTGGGCAGGACCTAGGACCCCCAGGCTCTTGCTATCTGCAGCCTGACTCTTCTTGGCCCAGGGCAGCCCCGAGGCCTGCTGGCACTTCTACACGAAGTTCCGGCCACACTCTTCACTGCGCACCTGGGCACACAGCAGCTTCTGGGGGCGGCCCAGCCTCTGGGGCCATCCCCAGGGCCTGGGCAGGGGCTGCCGCCGAAACTGTATCACCACCACCTGGAAGCCCAGCTGCTGCTCCGGTCACTATGGCAGTGAGTGCCGAGGTAAGTGTCATGAGGTCACGGACACTGCTGGTAGACTTCTCTGGCCCCCAAGCTAGCTGAGGGCACAGCTCTGGCCCTTGTCCCTGAGAAAGGGTCTTGGGTAGTCAAGGGCTGGGACAGGTCTAGGGGGGCAGTGGATTTTACGGGAGGAGATGCTTTAAGAGGTGGAGTGGGTGGTACATGGGCAGGACTTGGTGAGGTGCTCTGGGACGGGGGTTCCTGGATGCTCTCCAGGGCAAGGGAGCCTGGAGGGTTCTTTCAGCAGAGTGGGGACTTGGGTGGATTAGTGTTTCTAGAGGAGCCTTGGGCTCCACTGGGTGGAGGGTGGATGGCATGACTAGGAGTGTGTGGGAGCCTTGATGACAGCCAGCCCCTGGCCCCACCCTGACACCCCCATCCCATGGCCCAGCATGCCCCGGGGGCCCCAGCAACCCCTGTGGTAACCATGGTGTGTGCTTGGACGGCATGAGCGGCAGCGGGCAGTGCAGGTGCCACTCGGGCTTCACTGGGACAGCGTGTGAACTCTGTGCCCCTGGTGCCTTTGGGCCCCGTTGTCAAGGTGAGCCGTCCGTCCCACCCGCCCCCACCCTGTCCTCTGAGTCCCTCGGCCTCCATTGTCCACCAACCTCTGTCTTCCCCCCGCCCCTCTCCCCAGCCTGCCACTGCAGCTCCCATGGCCGTTGTGATGAGGGCCTTGGGGGCTCTGGCGCCTGTTTCTGTGATGAGGGCTGGACTGGGCTCCGCTGTGAGGTGCAGCTGGGTGAGTGGCCCTCGACTGTGCCCACCCTGCACACTGTGTATACTTGCACCCCCCACTGCATGCCCCGACGGCAGGCTTAGGTGGAGACACTGAGGGTGGGAGAGATGGGGAGGCCAGGAGGGCAGCTACTGACCTGGCTTCTGGGGCTGGGTGTCGGGGGACAGAGCTGCAGCCTGTGTGCACCCCACCCTGCGCTCCCCAGGCCGTGTGCCGTGAGAATAACAGCTGCGAGTGCAGCCTTGGCTACGAAGGGGACGGCCGTGAGTGCACAGGTAAGCAGGTGGATGGGGACGTGGGGGTGGGAGTGCCCCCACTCGCCCTGGGTCACCTGGTCAAACGTCTCCCTCCCTGCCTCCAGTGGCGGACCTGTGCCAGGATGGGCGTGGCGGCTGCAGTGAGCATGCCAACTGCAGCCAGGTGGGCACAGTGGTCACCTGCACCTGCCTGCCTGACTATGAGGGTGATGGCTGGATCTGCCAGGCCCGCAACCCCTGTGAAGACGGCCACCGTGGGGGCTGCAGTGAGCATGCCGACTGCCTGAGCACCGGCCCGGTGAGCAGGCGGGGAAACCCAGTGGCCAGGGTGGTGGGGAGGCCGTGCAGCCCCGCTCCCCAGCCCTGAAGGGCGCCCATCCACTCTCCCCTCTCGCAGAACACCCGGCGCTGTGAGTGCCACGCTGGTTACGTGGGTGATGGGCTGCAGTGTCTGGAGGAGGCCGAGTCGCCCGTAGACCGCTGCCTGATCCGGCCCCGACCCTGTCACGTGGATGCCGTGTGTACTGACCTGCACTTCCAGGGTGTGCTCCCCTGCCTGCTCCCCCGTGCCGCCGCTTTGTTCCTCTGTGCCTGCCAGCTGACCATGCACCCCTCCCCTCTGCAGAGAAACGGGCTGGGGTCTTCCACCTCCAGGCCACCAGCGGCCCTTATGGCCTGACCTTCTCAGAGGCCGAGGCAGCGTGTGAGGCCCAGGGAGCTGTCCTGGCTTCTCTCCCTCAGCTCTCTGCTGCCCAGCAGGTGCGTGGGGCCTGAGAGTCTGGAGCTGAACCTGTGGGGGCCCTTGGAGTTGGGTCTTGCGTCTCAGTATCCCCTCCTGCCCTTGCAGCTTGGCTTCCACATGTGTCTTGTGGGCTGGCTGGCCAATGGCTCAGCTGCCCACCCCGTCGTTTTCCGTGCGGCGGACTGCGGTGACGGCAAGGTGGGCATAGTCAGCCTGGGCGCCCGTCAGAACCTTTCGGAGCGCTGGGACGCCTACTGTTATCGCATACAAGGTGCATCCACCCCACCGTGCTTCATCCCTGGCTCTACCCCCTCCCACCGATCCACTGACTCACTGACCTGCCTTTTCGGCAGACGTGGAGTGCCAGTGCCGCGATGGCTTTGTGGGCGATGGGACCAGCATGTGCAACGGGAAGCTGCTTGACATACTGGCTGCCACTGCCAACTTCTCCACTTTCTACGAGGTGTCCAGGCACCCAGCCTTGGGCTGTGGGGATGACGGGGTAGCTGGATTCCTGGGGAGGGAGCCTGCCCTCATCCCTGCCTTCCCACCCTCCCAGATGCTGTTGGACTATGCCAATGCCACCCAGCAAGGTCTTGACTTCCTGGACTTCCTAGATGACGAGCTCACCTACAAGACACTCTTTGTCCCTGTCAACGAAGGCTTTGTGGACAACATGGTACCGGGGGATATGGGCAGAGCAGGGCTAGACTCTGCTCCCTCTGGCTCGCCCAGGCCAATAGGCATTGCTTCGCCCACAGACACTGAGTGGCCCAGACCTGGAGCTGCACGCCTCCAACACCACTTTCCTGAGTGCCAACGCCAGCCAGGGAACCTTGCTCCCTGCCCACTCGGGCCTCAGCCTCGTCATTAGTGACTTGGGCCCTGGCAACAGTTCTCAGGCCCCTGTGGTGAGTCTGGCTGCTGCCCCTTCCCTGCTGGCCCTGGCCCTTCCTCATCCCCGGGTCTGACTGCTCTTCCCACAGGTCCCAGGGGCAGTGGTCGTTGGCGGTGTCATCCAGTGGGACATCATAGCAGTCAACGGCATCATCCATGCTCTGGCCAGCCCCCTCCTGGCACCTCCACAGCCTGTGAGTCAGGGTTGGTGGGGAAGGCTGAGCTGACAACTCTGGCCGAGTCCTTAACACTCTCCTGGTGTTTGCAGCGGGCAGCGCTGGCACATGAGGCCCCACCCGTGGTGGCAAGCGTGGGGGCTGTGGTGGCCGCTGTAGCACTGCTTGGCCTGGTGGCCGGAGCGTTCTACCTCCATGCCCGAGGCAAGACCACGGGCTTTGGCTTCTCCACCTTCCAGGTAGTTGGGCTGACGACTAGTGGGGGAGGTTGGGTCCTCTGACCTTACATGAAGCCCCTTACTACTCACCACCCCCTCTCTGCTTCCAGGCGGAAGACAACGCTGATGATGACTTTTCCCCGTGGCAGGAGGGGACCAGCCCAACCCTGGTCTCCGTTCCCAACCCTGTCTTTGGCAGCCCCGATGCCTTTTGTGAGCCCTTTGATGTGAGTGTATAGGGGGGCATGGGGGACGTGGAAGTGGGCCCAGGGCCTGGTCTCTGCCTAGCCACAATTGGCCCTCACTGATGGCATAGTGGTTAAGAGCTACGGATGTTAACCAAAAGGTCAGCAGTTCGAATCCACCAGGCGCTCCTTGGAAACCCTATGGGGCAGTTCTACTTTGTCCTAAAGGGTCACTTTGAGTCAGAATCAACTCAACGGCAACAGGTTTTTTTTGTTTTTTTTTTTTATCCCAGGACTCGCTCCTAGAGGAGGACTTCCCCGACACGCAGAGGATCCTGGAGGTCAAGTGATGCGACTGGGGCTAAAACAGAGCCGTGTACAGGAAGGAGACGGACGGCCTTTATTGCTTGTCTGGACAAATGCCCGGAGTGGGCAGGGCAGGAGGGCTGGGGGCCTGACATGGACAATAAAGGTGCCCTCAGCGGATGTGGGCCATGTCGCCAAGGAAGGGCGTCTTCATGCAGCCAGTGCAGAGCTGGTCCATCCAGAGGGGTGCCTCGTGCTGCAGGGGCATGCGGCGCGGGTAGAAGGTGAAGTCCACGCGGTAGTTGAGCAGGCAGCTGAGGGAGGCCATGTAGAGGTCGGAGAAGCGCACGAGGCGCCGCGAGAAGTAGGTGGGGTTGTGGAAGGTGCGGAAGATGCTCCCAAACTGAGGATTGAACAGTGCCTTGGTGATGCACCTGGGGAGGGAGACACGGGGGTGCTGCAGGGGCTGGGTGCAGAATGGGGCTGGGCCAGGACTCCCACCCTGGCCCCACCCTCTCACCTCAGCTCCTGCCGCTCCTTCACCCAGGCAGCCAGCACCTGCCGTGACTCTGCATCCTGGTAGGTCTGGGGGAGACATGGTGTGCGCTTGCTCGGTGTGTGTGCCTGTGGAGGTGGCAGTCCCCGCCCCGCCCCGCCCCGTCCCGCACCTGCATGCGCTCCAGCAGCCCAGTGAGCGCCTGCTGCCACGTCAGTGAGTGCATATACTGCTCTGTGTTGATGATGCGGATCTCACGCTCCAGCTCGGGGATGATGGCACCTGTGCGCCAGCCGTGCCGCAGCATGAGGTCCTGGTGTTTGGGGAGGGCGAGGATGGGCTGAGCGCCAGCTGGAAGGGCTCCCCATCCTCCTCCTGCAGCCCGGCCCTGCTCCCCCTCACCGCCAGGTCACTGTAGAGGTGGTCTCCGAAGTAGAGCACACGGGGGCCTCGCCATTCTGTCAGGCGCAGGAAGTCAAACAGGTTTCCCTGGGGAGAGGTGGAGCAGGGACACCTCTGAGCCAAGTGCGCTGAGGGGACCCCCATGCGGCTGCTGGAACCAGGCCTTGTCCTCTACTAGGCCACCCAAATCCCCAGAGGCAGCGAGGGCCCTCTAGCCGGATGCTGGGCTGCCCTTTCCCATGGCCCTGCTGTCCCGTCTGTGCTCTAGGCCTCAACACATCCCCCTCACGCTTGGCCTGCCTGCCCTGGAAAGTTCCTGTAGGGCTGGCACAATGTCCTGTGCCTCAAGAGCCTCCCCTCCCCGCGGTCTCACACCCACCAGGCTAGAGGTTGAGCCCACCCTTTGTGGGAAACACACTGCAGCAGAGGCCCTAAGGAGAGGAGGCCCTTAGACCCGGGTCTTCCTGGCTCCCTCACCCCAGCCCAGAGGGACCCAGCTGATAAATGGCAGACCTCACTGTGAGGCCAGCTGCCCCTCCTGCCCCGAAGCCACAGAAAAGATACAAACACCCAAGCCAGGCTCAACACAACCAGGGCAGCTGGCAGGGGAGCAGAAACTGAGAAGGGTCCAGAGCAGGAAATGCAGTGGCCACCAGGGGCAGAGGCCCACACCCCAGAAGTGAGGAGAATTCATACCTGGCGAAAGAGAGTTAACAGAGCAGCCTGCATCCAAGAGCCCCAGAGGAAAACCATGGGGAAAATAGGTGGTTATAAAAGAACTTAATTGTTGAAATAAGCTCAAGTGGAAAGCCTGAGAAGCAGGTGGGTCTGTTGAAGAGGAAAGCGGTGAGGTGGAAGGAATGCAGAGGACATCCATCCCCCTGACCAAGAGAAACAATCTCGATGGGCAGGTGTGAGTCAGGAAGGATGGAGCCTGAGGTTCCAGCAACAAGAACTCGAAAGACAGGGCAGGGAAAGAGGACCTCAGAGTGAGGTTCCTGAGAAACAAACACACACACACACACACACATACACACACAATGAAATTTCAGAACACCAGGTATAAAGGAAAGCCTAAAAGCTGCCAAGGGAGAAAAAGACATTTCCCACAAAGAAGCGTGACCCTCCTCAGCCACAGCCAAGAATGCCAAGACAAAGGAGAGTATCACCCTCAGAGCTGAGGGGCAGACCTGCACTCAAGGGGGGCGGGGTGGGGGGGAAGCAGGGAGGCAGCTAAGCAGTGGTCAGAAGTAGCTGGGGTGGGAGTGCCCCTGCAGCCCAGCCTCCTCACTGGGTACCCCAAGGCTGCTCCTTGTGGTTGTGCCCAGTGGTCCAAGTGCTGGCTTCCCCACCTCCCTGCCCTGAGGCCTCTGGAACCCCCACACCCAAAAGAAAGGACCAGCTTAACCAGGATTTCTGCATTCCATCCAGGGCCAAATGCCTTAATCACTGCTGTTCACAGTCACCCAATCCCCTCGCCAGCTTCAGACAGTCAGAAAGGGAGTCTCCCAGAGCACTCCTGTGAGGCTTGCTCTGGCTGCACAGTGCTCAGCCCCAACTAACAGTGCCACTGACTGGGCATGCAGTGATTGTCGGGCCACTCCAAGGGCTGCACACTACAACTCATGTAGAGGGTGTTATACCACTTTTGCAGATGAGGAAAGCAAGGCACAGAAAGGCCAGGAGACTAGGCCAGGCTCCTGCTGCTCCTGAGTAGTGGAGTTGGGATTCAGATGCCGGCAGCCTGACCCAGAGGCCAAGCTCTTGACCGCTGCCTAGACCTTCACCCTGACAGCCACTCCCCAGGGACTCCTGCGTCCAGGCCTGCAGTGGACTTGGGATGGGAAGAAGATGTGGGGTTCTGGCCAGGGCCAAGGAGGCTGTGCTTCCTCCTCAGAGGCTGCCCCCTCCACAGTCTGGGGCCTTGGGGGGCCCTGTGTACCATCCCTGGCCCCAGATGGCTCTCACCTGCCGATAGATCTTGCCCTTTTCCAGGCGGGTGATCCGGTCCCACTGGAGCGAGCCCTTTTCATCAAGTTTTCTGAAAGGCCTGGTTGGGAGTGGAGGTCAAAGGCTTGGTTTCCAGCACATGGCACAGCTGCAGGGCCAGTACTCCCCCCACAAAGGCCCACCTGCTCAAGCCAACAAGGGGGCATCCTCACCCGAGCACAAAGGCCAGGCTGGCCTTGTGTCTCAGTCCCCTCATCAGGGGTGGGGCTTCCATTCCCCCTCCCCAACCCCGTTGCCTCGGCCAGGCTCAGAGCCATACTTGCGCCGGTCGGTGAAAAAGCTGGGCTTGTCCGCTTGGACAATGACCACATCGAAGAGTTGGCGCCAATCGGGGCCCACCATGTGCCTCATCCCCTTGTCCCTGTGCAGAGGTGGACAGGCGGCAGGTGGTCTGAGGGTGGCTCTGTGCCTGCCCACCCCCGCCAGCCCTGGCCCTGTGCCCCTCCTACAGGGGGACTCACACAAAGCTGAAAGGGCTGTTGGTGATGAGAAACAGCTGCTTCCCGTGGGCCACCAGGCGGCTGAGGACAGCGAACGTTTCGTCCCCTCTCAGGATATACTTCTCTAGTGGGAGAAGATGGGTCTGTGAGGGCCAAGCCTACTACCCCAGGCCAGGCAGGCCGCAGGGCAGGGCGACTGTCCACCCTTACCCATGTCCTGCTCGATCCACTGGTACATGAGGCCCTTCACGTGCACGTCTCGGATAGCGTCCTGGGGGCAGCGGGGGACAGTGAGGGTGCAGCAGGGCCCACAGCCTGCCCTGCTGTAGCTGGATTCCACCTCCCTGCCATCCCCAGGGGCAGGCCCGGCAGCCTCACTGTCACATCCTTGTAGAGGTGTGCCTGGTCAAACTCCAGGCTGTGGCCCAGGAAGTGGTCCACCACGCAGGAAAGCAGTGCCATCTCTGGCAGTGAGAAGATGTCCATGAACTGCTTGATGGAGGGACCCTGGGGAGGGGCCACCATCTCAGTACACCTCAGTCCCGTCACTCACTCCCAGCCTTATTGACCAGAGGCCCTGACTCTGCCCTGGGACACTGGCAGAGGGCACAGCCTGTGGGTCAGGGCTGGTTCATGGGACTGGGGCGGGCCCTGTGTTTGCAGTGACAGCACAGACCTGAGCTGCCTGGGGCAGCAGCAGGAGGAGAGAGTACCTTGCCGTAGAAGCCGCTCATCTGGTACAGTGGGATGTGCTGGGTGCCCCCATACAGGTCGATCACTTCCTCATCTGGCACAGGCTGCAGGCCCCTGGGTGGGTGCAGACACCATCAGCCCAAAGCAGTCTCGGCCCCAGGCCGCAGCACAGGGCTGGGGAGAGAGTGAGGCAGGACAGCGTGCAGCAGAAGCACTGGGCAGGGCAGGGCATGGTCGGGGTGAAGTCAGCACTGACCTGTAGGCCGTCCCCAGCTGCACGTAATGGAAGGCGTCAATCTTCATCAGAAGGCTCTGGCACCAGGGGCGCAGGACAGGTGTTAAGGAGGTAGCTGTGCCATTGGCTCTGAGCCAGCCTCCTGCAGCCCCTACGCTGAAGCCCCAACTGGACAGTACCAAGGGGATCGTGTGTACACCAAAAGAAAGCTGTGGCTTTGAGGCCAAGGAGGTGGGCAGTTGAGGAGACCCCCTTACAGGGGATGGTGGGGGCTGAGGATACAGCCCCTATATATATCCAGTCAGGAGGGGCCGGGGGAGTCAGTGGTCTAGCCACTCACCTTCTGGATGTCATAGTGGAGGCCTCGGATGGCAAAGCTGGGGTTGTAGTCATACTTCCGAATTCCCTCTGGGTACTGTTGGAGGAAGGCAGGCTGGGCCTGAGACAGTAATCTGCCAGATCTGCTGGTTGGGAGTCCACCTCAAGGGACCAATCCAGCCACCCACCCAGGGCAGTGGCCAGGCCAGAGGGCCAGGGATGGGCCAAGTCAGCCTTGGGTGTACAGGTACAAGGCCTGGCCTGCCTCCAGGGCCTGGGCATGGTGGTGGCATGGGAGCCCTGCCTGGCTGGCCTCACCTTGTAGTGCTCGATCAGGATGTCCCGGGCGGCATTGAAGACCTCAGGGTGCAGCGCATCTGCGTACTGGGCCAGCGTGTAGTCGTAGTCAAAACCGTAGACCTCCACATCACTCAGGCTGATCTCGTTGTTGGCGTAGATGGCCGCCGGGTTCAGGAGACTGCAGACCTCAGGGGGCAGGAGGTCTAGAGGAAGGAGAAGCAAGGAGGCGGTGATGACAATGACGATCACCACAGCAGCAGTAAGTGGTTACTGACTACTTTCCTGATGCCCCAGCTCTGTGAGCTCACAGAACACCCCACGGATGGGTACTCTTAGCCCACGTTGCAGATGGTCAAACAGAGGCTGAGAGAGAGAGGTCACTTGCCCAGGGTAACATGGTTGGGGTAAGTCAGAGCTCCATGGCCAGAGCTCCTACCCATGGGCTCCCCACTACTCACCTGGGTTAGACCACTGTCTGCGGCCCACCAGGTGCACTGAGCCCATGCCTCTTCCAGGCTCTCGTCACTAAGCCCCAGAAGACACAGAACTGGCCTACCCATGGCTACACTCAGACCCTTCAGGTGGGTAGTCACCCTAGCTCCTCACCGTCCAGCCCCAGAACAGCTGCACTCAAGACTGCCTATGTGTATCCTGCTCCTCTGCTCAAAACCCCTTCCTGAGCACCACTATCTCCCTCCCCGACCCCACCTGGGAGAGACCCCACTGCTCTTCTCCCATCTCGCCCAGCCTTGCCCACTGGCCTCCTATCTCAATCTCCTTGGGCACCCATGTGAGGGGTGGTGTGTGGGGATTGAGGACCCCAGGCCAGAGGATGCTGGCTTTGTCTTCGCCAGACTGCGGGCCTGAGGCCATGGACACTGCTTTTCCACCTTGCCAGGTACTGGAGTTGGGGCTCAGGAACACTAGCTGCGTGGGGCTCCTGGCTCGCCCCTCTGCCTCTCAGCTGAGGCAGCTACCACAGTCTGGGGAGTGAGGCCCCTCTAATTGGATTTTAGCTGCCCGCCAGCCCTCCTAATGCCATTTGCTGGGTCTGGCCAGGGAACATTGCTCATTACAACAGGCAGGACGTGTGATGTTGGGTTTTGGGCCATTACCCAAACTGCTCCTCTCTGAAGATGTGGTCATGGCCACCTCAAACCCCCTGGCTGCTCCTGAGAGGCTGCAGTTGGCTCTGAGCTAACAGTAGGGGGGCCGAGCAGAGCACTGTGCAGATGGGCTCTCGGGTCCTAATGAGGCCAATAAGGCTAAGGGGCCCCAGGCTCACCTGCCATGGCTTCCCCATCCAGGCGGACAACGGGGGACATGGATGTGGAAAGGGGGGTGCAATGGAAAGGGCATGGGCTCTGAGGTCAGACAGACCAGATCAGGCCCGCCGCCCACCCCCCACCCCCAGCTATGACCTCAGGAAAATCACCACCTCTTGGGTCTCAGTTTCCTTGTCTCTAAAAGGGGACTACATACTACCAACCTACAGAACTGGCGAGAGGCCCTGTGGGAGACGCTCTGGGCAGCACTCCTGCTCTGCATCCCTGGGAGTGTGGGATGAATGGGTGATGCACTTCCCGAGCCCTGTCCATGATCTCACTCAAGGAGCAGAAGGTTGTAGGGCGAGGGGGGCAGGCAGGACTGCGCGCACAGGGGTCCTGTTCCTGAGACCTCCTGCCTGTGGAGAGCGAGCTTGGCAGGCTGAGGCCCGAACCAACAGCCTGAGCCACCAGGGAATCCCTGTCTCAGCCACAGTGGGCACGGAGCAGGAGCCCCCGGCCACTCAGCAGGCCTGCGCTCAGGGGCAGACACCTTGCTGATGGGTTCCCATGTTGAGAAGCAGTTGCCTCGAAGGCCCCCTTGGAACACAAGGCCCCCCCACTGTGCTTTCTTTTCTAGCTAAGCGCAGGGTATGGGTGAAGAAACTGTGGCTGGTTCCTCTGGCGGCCCTAGGCCGGCACAGTCCTGGCAGATCTGTGGGTGCAGACAGAACACCCCCACTTGAACACACGAGACACAGTCGACTTCAGCCCTCTAGGGAGCTGACCCAAGATGGCCCTCACTAGCGTCACTAGGAGCCTGGACCTTGCCCTTCCAGCAGTCCTGAGTTCCTGGGTACTAACTCTCGGTGTGCTGTCCAGCAGCCCTCCAGGGTGGGAGGGGTCTGCTTGGCAGTGCAGTCCCTTGATGCCATAGAGTCCTGGCCTTTGCTTCTGCCCTTGTGGATGTTCCCACAGACAGACAGTCCCCCCAGGAATGAGGCGGGATGGGGAAGCAGCCCACGGGCGTCTAGGCTCCTGACCCAATTTCTGAACTAGGAAACCATAGCCCCGGGGCTCACAGGGCCCCACTCCCCTTCACAGGGCTGTGGTGGTGCAGCCCAGTCTAGGAGAAGAGCTGGGCAAGGATGTGGCCTCCATCCTGCACTGGTCTTCTCCTCAGCCCAAGCACTCGGCTTGTCCCACGGCACCAGGTTCCAGGCCCAACACCTCGCCGTGGTAGCCATGAGGCTCAATCATGGGTGCCGGCCTCCCAGCTGCTGCTTACTGGCACTTGTGTAGGTCTTAGAGGCTCATCTTGTTCCGTTCTCTCTATGTTCCTGTGAGGCAGTTACACCTACTCCTTCATTGTCCAGAGGAGACGGGAGGTGGAGTCAGGTGGAGTCACTTGCTCCAAACCACCCAGCAACAGACATAGAGTTGAGATTTTAATTTGCCTGCTCTTAATCACTCTGTCCCTCTGCCTAGCCTTCCACTGTCCCCACACTGAGGCTGGGGTGTAGGTGTGGGGGACAGAGAGGGGCAAGTACCTGGAGGGGGCTGCTGCACTGCTCTCAGGGTCCAGGGGCTGGCCTGGGACACGGTTCCCTGGCAAAGTTTTGTCCACAGGCATTAGTCCAAGGCACACCTCAATACCCAGAATCTCCCCCAGAAAACCCAGTCCGATAGGGAGGGGCTAGCATCCAGGGGCATGAAGCTGGCTCATTCCAGTCCTTATGATGGCATCTTGCTGGAAACTACCTTCTCCTTGCACACCAAGAAGAGCTTAGGGGTCTTGTGAAGATCCAGACTCTGGCTGGGCCCTGGAGGACAATGCCCAGTAGACTCTCCATGGCCCCCTCCCCTACAGCTGTAAGGCAGGCTTCTCCAGGCCCAGAACACCCAGCCCTGCTCCCTCCAAGGGAGACAAATTCAACCCAGGAGCTGGGGCAAGGAGTCCTTATAAAGGCTCAAGGGCTTCAAAACAGCCACTCCTCAAGTCTCCAACAGCTGGAGAAGAGGCCTTCTCCAGTCAGCTGGGATCTGGGGCCGACGCCTCTGGGATCAAGGGCTGGAGAAGGGCTGTCCTTCCAGACAGAGCCACTTTGTCTTGTCAGACAATGAAAGCCACTTCACCCCGGGGGGCTGCTCTGGAAACTCCTTGGATCAGCATTGTGTTTTATGCCTGAGGACACTAAGGGTCTGAGAGGGCAAGACTTGCTGAGGGCCAGCCAGCTGGTCAGTGATAGGGTCACCACCCAAACAGTATCTGTCTGCTGCAGAAGCTGGGCCCCAAGACCCCGCCCAGACAGTGGACAAATGTAGGGTGCTCTCAGGCCCCACCAGGGCACCTCCACCCTGCCCTCTCTTCTGAGAGGCAGCCTCAGCCCCCATCAACCCATTTGGCAGAAGAGAATTGTTGTTGTTAGTCGCTGTTG